CCCTATTTGACCTGATTATTTGACCTAATTTACCTAGGACACACCCTCTTACGTGGACCCACCCTCTTACACTATAAACCTAAAGACTTAAATTGACTGAAGTAACTTAAATTTGGACTGAAAATAAATCATTTTAACATTTCTATAATTTTAAGAATAATATTTTAATAATTGGTTTTAAGGTATAATAAAAATATTAATTTATGGTAAAATATAAAATAACTTTTTAATAAATTAAATTATGGCTCTAACATGCACCTTTAACATTCAAATAGAAAACATTAAAATAGCTAATATAACCAAAATTTAGAGCTAGGACAACATAAAAAAACAAAACAAAATAGTTCTCCTTGACTTAATGCAGTCAACTCCTACAAGAATCAAATCCCAATCATTTATTTTTCTGTCAAACTAACAAACCAACCATTTCTATTGACAAAACAAGAGATGACATTGACACCAGGCATTCTTAAATCAGTGCCTGAAGACCCTTGTTAAAATGAAACCACATTTTCCAAGGTCAACCGACATGTTTATAGCCACTTTGACCTTTGACCCCTCGTCTTCATCCCGGGCAGATCACAGACCAGCGCTGGCACCATCCAGCCCTTGTCTCCTATTGCCTCGTCCCAGTGAGAGGTGACAGGTTGGGGGGGCAGGAGTACAGGGCAGGGCGGGGGTCCGAGAAGAGTCTGACTGCTCTGTAAACATGGGGCTCCTGTGATCCTGTGACACATGAAAGGAGATTGGGGTTGCCGGCCCATTGCCTATAGCCGCCACACACATGTACACTGACAGACGATTCATGTATTTATGCATTGCGCGGCGTCCCTCAAAGGGGTATGGCTGGAGGCGTCTGGGAAGAGGGAGGGTGCAGAGGCAGACAAAGACGGATAGGGTGCTGAGGGTGAGGGCGGGCTATAGGTGACAGGAGATTCTGAAGGGCAAGAGGGGCCAAGCAACATCTGACAAGCAATGATGGTGGTTTTATACCTCTCAAAATGTGACTGGCCAGTTAATGCTTTATGAAAAGGGTTAAGCTACACAGTTCTGTGTATTTAAGTTCAAAGGTAACTCTAATTTTGTTAGCTTTGTGTGTTGGACTTGGATTTTTATCAGTATCTCTTAAAAGGTGCCAACTTTAAGTCAATGTTGTTTTGCATTTGGGCAGAATATACTTCACCTTTACCACTGCAAAAAATCAAACAGTGGTGGCAATGGAGATATTTTATTTATGTAGGGCTTTTAAAATTGACTCTATGGTCTGCAGCAAATGTTAAACTTAATGTACAACCAGTTGTGTAGAGTGTGGTGCTGCAAAAACACAAGCTTTCTATTTTTGTTTCAGTGCAGGTTTCTGTTGCTGGTAATATTGTCTATTCATGTGAAATCAAAGTGAGTATTTTCACCATACTATAGTTTTAAATAATTGTGTTAGTGATATTGGCCCTCAGAACTTCCTTGTACTCTTTTTATGAGCGGTGAACAGTTAAGCCTTCAAGAGCCTGGACTGAGTGAGAGAAAGGAGCAGAAATAAAGGGGGATGTCTGGGGAACTTCAATGGCCTCTCTGTGTCCATCTAATATGGAGAGCTAGCATGCTGGGAGTTGGCCCTTTCCATTCAGCCAGACCCCAAACTCATAAAGACCTCTTCTATGGCCCCCAACCTGAAACCCACCCACTGCAGCCCTTGCCGGTATAGGCCCCTTCCATGGGAACTCGCAATCTGCAACGTAATCCCACTTTGGCCCCTGGAGAAGTCTTTCCAAACAAACCATGTGAGTCCTAATACCCAGAGCTTCACAAGTGGCTCCTGGCTAGGCCCAAGCTCCACACCAACAACAACAACGTGGCCCTCCTTCTTCTGTTCTCATCCTGCGGCTTTTCTAGCGTTGCAGACAGCCCACAAAAGGAAGGATCTCTGTCTAATTGCGCTGGAGATTGAAAAGCTGAGAAGAGCAGTGGGCGGCTGCAGTGGGAAATGAGAGCCAGGCTCTGGAGGCAACGGGGGACTGTCAGTCTGGCTTTGGCCAGGCCTCGGTGTGTGCTCGCTGGAATAAAGGAGCTGGCAGGACAGCCTCCTCTGTGGAGCTGGACCTGAGTGGATCAGAGCGGAGGTGGGAGCCTCCCAGGGCCTGGCTTTACAAGTGAGTCCAAAGCCCAGACCTGAATACCCAGTGCTGAAGGCGCTCTGCTGGGGGTCCCCTGTACACATGGGAAAAAGCGTCTGCAGCTCTGAGACTGTATGCACCGCTGGGACCAGCTCGGAGTTCTGAGCCAACAAGAGCACACACTGTTGGGAGGGATCCAACACTTGTGTGCAGCCACAACAGTCGGCCACTGTTAATGAGAGCTGTAGGATGATGGAGTGTGTGAACAAACAGTTGTGGGGTCAGGGACCTTTGGATCTGTGGCTGTGATGAGCTGAATTACTCATAATGCTCAAGTTCACACACACATCTGTTTTTATGGCCCATACACAACACTTGGGATTTGTTATGTTTCAAACAAGACTCAGCGTTGCACGTATCAATTATAACTGACATGAATATCACTTTTGCCTCTAGCCTCACTTTATTAATGCTAGAGGCAAAACAGAGAGTGAAAGACTAATAAAACTCCTTTTGCATGCATGTTAAGGTTTTGATGCTTTGAAGAGTACACAGACACATTTTGATATTGATCATCTGGTCTCAGCCATTGACCTATAGAAGCTGCACAACCACTTTTCAAAAACAGTCCATGGCAAAAACCACAGTCACTAGGATTTGATCTAAACACCTGACAATCGTGAATTGACAGTATGAGCCTAAAGAAGTCGTGTCCTCTTTATGTAGTGCCACAGGGTCTGGAGGATTTGGGCCTTAGCCGCTCTAGAACTTCTCCCCTGGCTGACCTCTTTTCATCTCTTCGTCCGTCCGCTTTTCGTCTGTTTAATACAAATCAGCCACTTAATGCCATGCACATGTTTTAGTGTTATTTGAACTCTGACTGGCAGAGAACTTCAAACAGCTTTTTAAAGTGAACAAACTTTATTTTTCTCCTTTTTAAGAACAGAGGCACATCTGAGGAGACCTAATCAGAAGTAGGAGGAGAGATGGTTGTTGTGATGTGCAGAGGTTTGTTTTAGTGCTGACATTTATTCTAAAGTAGAGTTAACATAAAAAGATGCGACCATGTTTGGCCTGAACCTCCTTCAGCATCACCTCTCCTCACAGCTGGGCCCATCTAAAGTTTGGTGTTTTTGATTTAGTCAAAGTTTCAACAACATCAAAAACATCACTGCACTAACCTAATGCTAAAATGTTTAAACTTAATTTATTTACAAGAGAATATACAAACAAAATGTCTTCATGTGGAAAGGCAGACTGACTGATCAGGGACACCTTGTGAACACATTATATTTATCATGTGTTTATCATGAAGTAAAGTAAGTCATGTGAAAAATCTACACACTGTAAGATTTAATTCAAAAGGAACCAAGGTAAAACAGCAATGCAAGATTTAACACATTCATATAGTAACGACTGACTTGGCCATAAAAATACCGTTAATGTCCACATATGAATTGTTTTGACATTTTTGCATGCCTGAGTCTGCTGACATGCAGACACGGCCCCACTATATGCTATCTACATTACTTCTGTCTAATACGGTGCCTCTTTGGCCTGTCAGAAGAAGACCAGAGACCACAGGTAAGTCTGAACAAGGGCCAGGTGAGAGTGGTACAGGGTTCATAGCTGTACTGTTGAAAGAAATCAAACAAGCGTTCAGATAGTAGCTTTAATGCCACTTTGTTTACCTTTTATGAACCTTTTACTGTATTTTAATTTAATATGCACAATACAATTTTCAACATTGCTTGAATGTGTTAACTTAACATGTATTTCAGTTGTAGCCTACTGTAAAATTCAACCTGCTGTGCAGATGAGCTTTTCCTGATGGCGTTGCCTCTTGTGCATTTTAGGCAGAGCATACGGCTTTCATGTGGCGCCCTGCTGCGACAGGATTAGAAGGAGGTCACTCAAAGGCGTACACACATGTACATAGGAAATACATAGTTCCTTTTCTCTTTTATAGAGACATGCATATGCTTTCTCCGAGTTAATTTACATACAGTCAAGTTCAAAGGGGGTCGTGTTGGGCTCTGCTTTTCCACTTATTAGCCGCACACTGATCTGGTGAGGAGAGGGTTTATAGACTTCATAAAGGGATGGTTATTACAGATGGACTTGTCTGCTCTTTGAGTTTAGCAGTGGGGGTTCCACAGGGCTTTGATGTGATCGTGCTGCTAAATACATTTCAAGCAGTAGAGGGAGCTATTTTCCACCTCAGTCAGTACGTATAGGCTTATCATCACTTGAGATGTTTTCCCCCCAGTGCGTCTTTGAACGTGTACTCACGGCGTCAGGGCCCAAGGCATTTTAAATCAAAATCCTACAAGATGAACAAGTCGGGACAAAATTGGCATTTATCCCCCCCCCCCCGCGTAATGGTGCGTAAAGTGTCCAGCAGGTGGTAGTCTACTCCTGACCAGTGCTTCACACACTTTTAAGTCAAGGATTGCATTATAACACTACAGAAATTCGGCAGCCTGTCAGAATGACGAAAGGTCATTAAACACGTGTAATCTGAGCAGGGCAGGCAAAAAAAAAAAAAAAAAAAAAAAAAAAAAAAGATGGATGAATCACTTGTTGCGCATTGTTGTTGAGACACATAAGCGCATAAACACTGATGAGACTCAAAGAACCTTACAGTGTCTGGCCACTAGGTGTCAGCATGGTCAAACGAGAAAAAATGGCCCAGACACAGAGCTGGCTTTAACATTTTATTAGCCTACATTTTGTTTATCTGTCTTTTAAATGTAGACAAAATTTGGGATAAATTGCACAGTGCACACTATGTTATCTCCTCCCTCTATGTCAGAGCAATAGGTGCGAAGCAAGAGGCACCGGCAGCAGCTACCACTACGCTGTTTGAGGAGGGAAACCCGCGTCTTTTGACATACTGCAACGCCATGACGCAATTGACACTGGGCTGCTGCAAGACAATCAAAAATGAATCAGCTTGTGCGAGTGTAAACAGCCTTTAGACCGTGAAGGAGGGGGTGTGGCACCCACCAGCCCCATTCACAGAGCACTCGTCCACGGCCACCCCAGTGCAGCACAGCGGGCTCGGTGACGGTTTAGCCCACGGCCGTAGCCTCTTCTCGCCTCCTCCGCGGTGCGCGCGGGACTGCGGACAGGAGCCGCTCTCCTCGCGCTGGCCCACGGTGACACTGATCAGGACTCAGATTTAAGGATGCTGCTCCGCCGCCTGCCTACGGAGATGCGATAAAGAGCCGAAGGTAAGACAAAGGTAGATTATGTGTGCTTTAAGCAACGCCAAGGCCATGTTATGGATGGATATTGCCTTTAAGATGTGAACAAAACAAAGGACTTGATGCTGTTATAAGCATCAGTGTCGTGTTTTCAAAATCGAGAATCTATGAATTAAAGCGTCTCGGTGTACGCGTACCCTTCGTCCAAACATGCATTTACTGCATCACTTTGATTGGACCAAATGTACAAATGTCACATCCAGTATATGAAATGCTGCCCTGTTAGTGTTCAGATTTGTATAGAGCCCTCCCTCCTCCAGTGTCTAAGATCATGAGACATTGATCAGCTGGACCCTGATGTTTGAGTCCTCTAATAAGTCTCTCTTTTTATTCCTTGTATCAGAGTCCAGTTTGTTTCTCTTGTTATATAATTTGTACCTATCTAATGGCTGTCCTTATCTGAACTTGTTTTGAAGGGTTTGGTTTATTCACATGGGACTGCTTAGTGCTATCCTTAAGAGAAGATTCTCCTTTGGGCTGAAAGTGAATTTGGTTTGGAGAGATGAGTCATCCCTGTGTCTTGTCTCTAACACATTTATTCCCCACTATGTTTTATTCCCAGGCATGTCAGCTGCACCATGATCCATGGCTGTGCAGGGCCTGTATCTGAGCCCGCCGTGCTGCAGGAGAAGATTGAATGTCTCTAAAATATCGAGGTAGGCCAGCCCTCCCTCCTCTGCTTCTCTGAGGTTGGTGCAAGAGTTTAAGTAAATCTACCAATATTTTAAAGTTAATTTCCATCTCCTGCTGTATAAATGTCTTTGTTTCGTGTGCACAGAAGAGAATACAGTCTAATTAGACAAATTGCTGCCAGGGTGAAAGCAAACAGTGGCAGCTGGACTGTCTGACAAAGCAATTGTGTGTTGATAATAAGGGGCTGGACGGCTCTTTATCACAAGAGCCTTCTGAGACAAAGTGAACCACAGAAACGAGGCACAAACAGAGAGAGCTGCACACTTGCTGGCTTCATTCTTATGAACTGCAGGCGGAATATTTTCAGGTTGAATGAAAGTTCATCCCAAATTGAAAAACATTTATGTTTTTTGGTCAGACATCTGTGAGTCAGCAGTAGTTCGCCCAAGGATCCTGTCTGTAAATATTACGTTACTTGCTGATCTGTTATAATGTTGTTTCTTCATCACAAACATACCTGGAGTTGTGTTTTGTTTCATTCACATATGTTTAACACAAAAACCCTGCAAATTCAGGCTGAGTTCTTCTCTCAAACAGAAAACTGAGGTGTGAAGGAAGTGCTTCTCTTTGGTTTTAAACTCCATACACCTTCACTAGAATTTGGATAACAACCCGGGAACTGACTATTTCTACTGAACAAAAGGCAAAATGTGGCTGTTAACTTGAAAACCACTGCTTCATGACATCACAATTTTAGACAAGCTAATAAAAAAGAGTTACTCAAACATGTGTGAATGAAACAAAACACAGCTCCAGTTATGTTTTTGAGGGAGTAAAACAGTATTCTAACATGACTTAAAGCTCACAAGAGTCAGTTTTGTGTAATACAGGACCTTTAAAGGGAATTAGTAGCTGGAAATATGACAGTGGCAAGATACGAACAACTAGGCAACTCATTTTCAATACACAGTGAAGCATTGCTGCATGGTTCTGGTGGTGTACTACTAGGATGTTAAATGCAGGACTGATAATAATCTAAAATGCCATCTGTCTGATATAATTACATAGAACACTTTACTGGTTTAAACTGATTCAGGGTGATTATGGCTTTATTTGTTCTGAATTGCCACTAGCAACATCTTGTGACTGTACATATGTTTCTACACAGTGCTTACAGAATCATCCTTGCCTTTTGTTTTTGTGATATGAAAAGGTCGCATATGCCAACTGAAAGTCCATAGCCTGGTCATTCAGTTTTTTTTATTTTATTTTTTATTTAAAACAGCAGAAAGAATGTTACAGGGTGGTGCTTTCCTCTTTGTGTGGTTATCTCACAAAACAGGAAGTGAATGTTAAAGAGCAGAGAGGAAGTCCTGACGAGATGTCACAAACAGATTGGTCCAAAACAGAACAGTGGCAGCTGCTCTGTCTAAAATGTCATGGCGTCCTGTGAAGTTATTAGTATTTCAATATGACTCATAATGTGATTGTAGAGTAACTTAGGCTAACTTTGATACACAAGGGAAATTAAATGCAAAGTTATTTTACTGTGCCACTCATTGCAATAATGTGTTATTTGCAACATTTGCCCACACAGAAGCACTTGAAATTAAGGAGAGTTTTGTTTTGTTGGAAGAGCTTTAACCTATAAAAGAATTGGAACAAAACAAACACTCTACACTCCTGCTGTTAGCTGCTGTTGGATGCCCATTGCAGATACAGGGACATGCTTTCTGTTTTTACATCACTCTGTTCATCTTGTAATTGGGAGGATTATGACTAATACTAAAGCCTGGAGCTGTTTGTGTGTCTGGCAGCTTTAACACAGATTATAGATGGTTGATACAGTGAGGAGTCTCTCATATTTGCTTTTGTGCTTTCTTCCTTTTGATCCACACTGCCACGTAGGATTATCAAGCCTATGGGTAAATGACAGACTTGTAATGATGAGAAGGAGAGCTTTATATTTTATGAGGAAACACCGACTGAAGTCATCATCAAAAATATATTATTGTTGACTGCATTATGCAGATAATGAGGCTTCATTGCCCATGCAACCCAGAGAAGTCGGTGTATTCCTAGATTTCCTAGAGCTTTTTGTAGCCAAATAAGATGAGGGCCTTTTAAATATCATTGTTTAAATTCAAAGACACAAGTTTTAATTCATACTTACTAGCCTGTATTGGTACGTATGGTTTTATGGAATCATGATCTGATCTCTGACAATTTGCTAATTTGGTGAAATTGTCATAATATTGTGATTCATTGTTTTTGTATTCAGTACAGCTGTCAGCTCAAAGACAGACTTTTTTCTCCACCCACTTCTCCTATTGGTCAGTGTCTGTAAGCTCTGTGTGAGTGACAGCTGGATTTAACCAATCACAGTGAAGTGTTGAACTTTCAGAAGAATCAGATTACTTAAAGGCATTAGGACAATAAGTGTACATGAATTGTGATCAAATCAAAATCACTGTCTGACTTGAAGAAAATTGTGTTTTTCATTTTTGTAATGTCGCCCACCCCTAGTCTGTATTGCACACCCTGTTAGCTATGACTGTGTGTTGTCACCTACAGAGAGTGCAAAAGCTTAAGGAAGCCATTTGCTCATAGAAGAAGCATGCTCCATTTTTATTACCATCACAAAGGAATGATACATATATGCAAACACCAAACTGCTCAAGGTTGAGCTGCCACTCAAAAGGATAAGCTTAAGAAGAGCAGAACAACATGAAATCTTCACTGTTGTTATGGTAACCAGCATTCCCATCATTTGACCAATATAGATTCAGTATCAGACAGAAGAGATGACAAGAACTAGTGATATTAGTTGAACCTGAACAAATTCACCATTTTTATTTGATTTGAATCTGCTAAAATATACATAGATACTGCTGCATTTCAAATAGTCCATGATCTGCTTGGGTGTTTTTGACTGACAGGTCTACAGCCAATCCTCTGTTAGTAAAACAGGTTTAGAGCAGTGTTCAGGGGAGTTTAGAGAATTAAATATGTATTTTTGTGTTAAATGGCATTGAGTCTGTATTTTTTATGTTCATATAATTAATATGAAAAGGCACATTTTTAATAAGACAAAATTAAAAATGAAAACTGAACTGACCACTGATTGCTCTGATCTTAAAACTCTATGGATTCTAGGCACATGTTAATATATGTCAGTGTTATTATTGCTATATATGAGCAGACAAGCCCATACAATGGCTTTTTCCTATAGTGGCCATGCTTGTTTAATCTCTTCTCTTAAACTGAGTATGTCCAGAATGCTGATATGAGACCAACATCTTAGAGTTATTTTTGGACGTCCTTTGTGTGACTTCCTCTCTGTTGGGTCATAGCTGGTTGGACAATAATTACCGAAGGACACTGTGTCACCTACAAGCAGGGCTCATTTATTATTTATTTATATACTGTCTATAGAGTGAGTTTTTTTTTTTTTTTTTTTGCAGGTGTACAGTATACAATTCAAGTTATAGCTCAGAGTGGGGGTTGCGTCAGGGTGTCCTCTACTCCTGCTATTGCACTGGTTTAGTGACACACTGTTACATAAAGACACGGATTTATTTTGTTGTTGTTTAGTTGGAAATAGAACTAACCAATTATCTCCCTTAAGATCATCAGAAAATAATAGCCAATACACCTTGAGAACAAGCGGTTCTCTTAAGATTTCAGAAGGGTTGGGTCTTGTTAGTACTGGGAGACCACTGGGAAAACCAGGCGCCGTAGTGACTGCTTTTAACAAGTTAGGTGCTGGCTGCAGTAGTTATGAAAATTATAAATATAACTTTTTAAAATTATAATTTCAATACATTTATATTATCATTGCTATGATTGTTTTTTAGGTGTTGGGGATAAGGAAAATCATATTCATTGTTTATCACTTTTATGAATTAATTTAAAAAGTAATAAAGTGGCAGCATGTGTCTTGAAGTACATTCAGCTCAATTCAGAATATGCAGTTTCATTCGCAGCTTTCCACACCAGGGCTCTGTAGATGATGAGCATTGCTAAGCTCATATTAGTCTGAGGGAGTGACAGTGTAAGGCTATGGACCCATCCATCACTGGGCTGCAGGCTGTCAGAAACATATCCACACATATGGAATCTGCCTCCGCATCTGTCCATCAGGAGAGGCCCCTGCAGCAGTCAAATGTGAAACTACAAAAACACTACATGAACATGTCCGTATCACTACATGGACCAACATACTAAAACACTAATAATAGTATAATAACCTTACCAGCCTACTTTCTATGAACCTTCTCTCTGGCAGGATCTAAGTCAAGGTTGAAAGTGCATATGGCAAGTTTACATGTTTTTAAACTGGTCATGTGGCAGTCTGTGAAGAAGAAAGTTGAAAAATACAGGGCATAGACCAAAATGCAGAGAAAATTTGGACAGTTTAACACTCATTTAAGAAAATACATATGTTGCCATACATTTTATTATAAGCTATTATGCAACTATTTTGAAAATTTAACAAGTTTTGGCCCATCTTTGGTTGCTTGGTAATAGTCATGATAGAATTACCTCTACTTATGTCATATCAGCTGTGCATGTCCAATCAGTAAGTAAAGTTTAAGCCTAAATATAATTCATTTAACTAGATTGTATTAACACTAGTCTAACCTGTCATATGTATTTAAAGGTACATTTCCCTGCCCCACCCTACACCCTCAGGAGTAGTGGGCGACTGCAGTGCAGCATCTCCAGAGGGACCAGAGTTCTTGTTGTGGATCTGTTCTGGTGATCTGTCCATTTTTCTTGCTCTGATGCTGAATTCTTGTCTTCATGCTCTGCTCCTCTGCTGTCTCCCTGACACTGGCCTGAGCTGATTAGAGGCACTGCTCAGTCTGATTAATTGGCTGTGTAGTCTCTGTGCCAGTCTGCTGTCTGTCCTCCTTTACAGAAACACTGCACAGTCTGTCAGCAGCAAACACACAACATGAACCCAGTTTAGATAGAGGGATGTAACAATGTCCTAATCTCTTGATACGCTGTTTTCACCAAATGCATCTTAAGGTACAATATTTATTGGGATATTTGTGGAGGCTAACAAAATTGTTAAGATACTGCTTTTTCCTTTTAAAAGCCTTAAAAAAGCCTTGAACAAACCTTTGGTACTATTATAATATCCCTTGATAGTGGGTTAGGGTTAAAATTACCCCAGTATATCACTGACATTTACAAATTAAAATTAAAATCTGATTAACTACACAGCCTCTGAGATCTTCTGAGGTTGGTTGTCATGCTGTGAGTTGGTCAGTTTATCAATCAATTATTCTTCTTCACCTACTACGGGCCTTAGACAGGGAACATTAGTCACTGATTGTTACTTCACTGTTAAACTTATAATGGTGGGCAATAGAAGCCAGCGACATTATGTAGCAACGGCGACTACAACTACAGATATTTAGAAAGATAATTTGTTTTTGGCTATCATGGAGCGCATGCTGGGATCTTGAAAATTTATTTTACCAATATTGTCAAATAGTTAAGAAGGAAAGTCTACTCCTTCTGCACAAAGCAAATAATATGTTTCTTCCATTTGGTTTGAATTGAATCCATGTTCATTGACTCCACTGAATCCAATTAAATCCAAATGAATGCACCACAAAACATATAATACCACAATAGATAGATGGATTTCTTTCTTGCAGACTCACGGACCAGCGTAAAAACAAACAGACAAACAATATAAAATACATTATTCATATGCATGGTTTAGTATTTGCATTCTTACAGCATGTAGCAGTGCTCAGCTAATTGGCTCCACTTCAAACATTACAATCCCCCATTGTGGTTCATCTTTTACTTATTTTTTTCCTCAGTTTCTTGCTTTTATTGAATTTGCTGTTCTCCTAGTGTGGTCGTGTCAAATTTACACACACCACATAGCCCGAATGATACTAGCACTTTAAATGGCCTGGCTGGAAAGTCAAATACTGTTAGTCGACCTCCCAATGTCTGGTCAGAGTGCCAGCCTAGTGCCCCTGAGGCATTTCTGAGGCACGCAATCACCACAAATAAGTGCTGTACACCCCTGCATCCTCCATTACAGTCCAATTTTAGGTAGCGGGTTTGTGTGCATGTCTTTTTGATAGGGATAAGTGAGTATGATGCTCTCTATGTGATGTGCAAGAATAAACAGGGACAATAACCCAGTAACAAGGCTATGGTCGAGGGAAGTTGATGATGAATGGGCTTCGTTCCACTTTAGACAGAATAAAATAGAATAGAGGCCTTTGTCTGTGCAGGCAATGGGGCGCAACTACTTCCACTGTGGTTATGCAAATATAGTAATGCTGCAGTCTTTTTTGTATAGGAAAAATAATAGAAAATTCATTTGCAGGAAAGTTGCATAAGGTATTATAATATTTTATACTCCTGGCACATTTTATTCCACCGTTAAATATGCTATAAGTAGAATTGTGAAGTTCTCATTTTCTGTATTCAAAACATTTGTAAAGATTTAGGCCAGTTGCTTAATTTTGTATTTTTTGTAGTTCAGTTCAAAGACCATTAGGCAGGAATGTAGGCATTACAGAACAGCCTGTGCATTAATCCCCAAGCACTGGTCTTCCTTAGAGTGGTAGAGTTAATGTGTAGAGATCTATATTAGGTAGAAATCGATATTTACGTTCTAAGTGACAGATAAAGCTTTGAAATGAAATGCCTTTTCCTTTTGACTAGTCTCAGTAGCTGTTTTGCTTCTCTGTTCCTGCCTCAGCTGTGTGGTGCCCCCTGTGGCGAGTGGGCTGAAACACAGTTAAAATGTTGACAGAGCTCTCCAGAAGGATCTCTGCTCAGAAGAAGCCAATTAATCATGTTGCCATAGTGAGAGCAAGTGAGTGATTGGACTAATGTTAAAGCAGGGAGAGGCCAGGGCCTACAGCCACTCGGTCTGTCACACACAGACCTGCATAATGAGGCTAATGGATTGAGGAGCACAGTTGTACCTGTCCAGTCTGCTTTCATTTATTTCCCCCCCTATTTCTGTCTCATGGTCTGAACTATATACAAGCTACCAGCTGAACTATAGACAATTTTAGCTTGAACCAAAGAGAACTTGCATCATCACAGTTCATATATTATTATTGCCATATTTACCATTTCAGTATCTAATTTATAATGTAACCATAGTATATCCATGGGTTTCAGAATTATTAAACATTTGGAAAAAACACGAAAACTTGCATATATCAACAATGGTTCATCAATCTTAGTATTATTATTAGTGCAAGAAAGTACATTGTGTTCTAATTCAAATATACATTTAAGTAGATCCTGTTTATTTCTAAAATAACTTCTAGACTGCTTAGTGCTAGCCTGATTCATCAGCTGGTTTCACTTTGTGGAAACCGTCTGACCTTGCAGCATTAGGATTTGTTTGCTCCTCGGTAGGCGGGTACTTTTTAAAATTTAACCACTTGCTGCTATTTGGTTGTGACGTATGTAATGCGCTGCTAATGGGGCGAACTGGTATATTAAGCTTTTTTCCAAATCCCGTAGGAAGAAGGGCAGTAATGTCTTTTCCCTTGATAAAATTCACAAAACATTCTCTTTGTTCCGGCTTTAAATCCTCAATCGTGGAAATTGTTGCCAAACACAGAACGTCTGGCTTCGTCTACATCCATCTCGACTGCTTTGTTTACTGTTGTGCTGTACCACTAAAGGGACCCAGACAGGCGCTTGAGTTTGAGGTCATGGCTTTGCAGCTCTGGCCGGGGCGCGGTCTACAACTTCTGGGGTTCTTGCAAACCATCTAGTGTATTCCGATTCCTCCTTCCGATTTCTCTGGAGAGAAATGAAATTGAGCGGAGACACTAGGTGGTGCCAGCCTGCCTAGCTTATTGCAGGTTTATGGTAAGATTAGTCAAGATTTTGACATATTTTTGTACTTGTGTTTACCCCTAAATAGATAGTTGGAGTTTAGTTAATTGAAATTGAAACACAACATGATCTTGTATACTGTGTTTATATTTATACCTTAATGATAACAGTATTTCTTTTACCTGTTTTTTGCAGTGAGCTGTGAGCCCTGTGCAGGCTGGTGATGAGTGCTCAGGGCAGCAGCAGTAAGGGGAGTGGCCAACATGAGGACACCCCGCCCCCGCGTCACACCCCTGGTCCCAAACTGCAGGTCCAACGCTCTCACTCGCGGGACACCATCACCATCCACTTCTCTGCACTGGGGAAGGAGGAGGATGACGATGAGGAAGAGCTGTACCTTCCAAAAACATCTGGGCAGGAGACCAGGGAGGAGCTACTGTTTGAACCATTAGCAGAAGAACCTTCGTCTTCATCTTCAGTGGCCATGACGATTACTTCACCCCATCAAAATCCCATGGTCGCTAACACCAGCTCGTCTTGGCCTTCTGAAAGGCCCCTGGCCGGTCCTTCCACTAGCTCTTACACATCTTCTCCTTGTAAAACTACTCCACTGTCGTCATCTAAACCATTCTTAAGCTTGGTCCGGTCCTTGTCCAATGAGGTTGAGTCTCGAGAACCGCCACCTGTGCCCACAACAGTCGCCCCAACCCATGTCCGCCATCGCCACTTGATGAAGTCCTTCGTCAAATCTCTGAGCACAGAAACTTCAAAGGATCCAGAAAGCACGCATTCTTACCAACATGGCCCACCTTCACGACCTCCACCCCGCAACATGCAACTTTTCAAACAGTTCTCTCAGCCACGCCTGTCCACTGCGCCGGTCGTTGTCACCCAAGCGGGGGGTGACTCCAAAACGGCCCCCTCCTCTCCCATCATGTCACCGGACGGCAGGTCATTTTTCAAGGTACAGGAGGTAGAGGCCAAAATCGAAGACACCAGACGGAGGCTATCAGAGGTGATGTCGGACCCCATGCAGCTTTTCAGTAAGATCATAGGGGATGAGAGTGGTGGGATGGGGGGAGGTTATGGGGGGTCCGGGGGTCATCGAGGTAAATCCCTTTCGTCCAGCGCGTCTGAACTCAGCGGGATGGGGGCGGTGAACGGCCACTCAGATGCAAACAGCAGTTACAGTATCAAAGAGGAGAGTGCTGAGGCTGAGGAGGAGGATGAAGAAACGCCAATTGGAAAACCACCAGATTCTGTATTTTTTTCTTTCCCATCATTACCCACAATCCCTTTATCCAAATCTCCCTCTCTGACTCTTGGCCGTTGCTCCATGTCGGCGCTAGTGGCACGACAGGAAGATGAAGATTTTTGTGAACTGTATAGTGAGGACTTTGACATATGTACAGATACAGAAACGCCTGATGGTAGCCAACCCATTTGCAGGGACCCCCAAACTGTTAGCACAGGACTTTCTGAATGGGACTTAGAGGAAGAGGACACATACGAAGCAGAAGCTATTCCAGTCACAGGTCTCATTTTCTTAACACAATTAGTATACTGGTATTTGATCCTGCCATTGCCCCCATACATGTACTCAGTGATACATGGGGTGATGGCAGGGTTTATGCTGGCCCTCCTGGTGTTGTGGCTGTCCGCTCCTCGGATCTGCTCTTCCGGGATGAGGAGAGGCAGAAGAAGGGTAGACATCTGGAATGTGGCTCAACTGGACATAAAGGAACCTGGAATATTTAAGGTGAGAGCAGCATATTAATTGTTGTTTCAAATGCGGGACTTCCCAAGGTAAACCATGAGAAGTCCTGTTGCCAATCCCTTTTACTTTTTCTGCTGGAAATATTCAAGATATTTCAGTGATTATCTGACTATGAGGTAACTAAAGACCAAAACACCAATTTAGTAGTTCAGAAAAATACACTGGAAATATGGAAATACAGCAAAATCAGTAATTAAAAATAATTATACTTCTGAAACTAAATCCTGCTGATGAGCTTGTTATTGATCTACTTCAAACAGTATAGGTACAATATACAAATATATATTAACATCACTGATTTAGATCCCTTCATCCTCATTAAAATTTCTGCTACCAAGGCCAAAGCATGTTGCCAGTGTAAAAATAGCTTGTCCCTTTCCCTTCAGGCTAAAGGACACACACATAAAATCTGAGAAACATAAAGATTTGAATCCTGCTCTCAGCACAAACATTATTTTCAGAGAGGTCAGATCCACTGACCCACAGGTTCACAGTTTGATCCAAGGCCCTACAGGTGAATACTGCAGTGTCCTTGGGCAAGAAAGACACTTAACCCCCTTGCCCCCAGTGTGTGTGTGTACACTAATGTATGAATGTGTGTGAATGGGTCAGTAGGTCCTTGATGTAAAGAGTGCCATGAAGGAAGAAAAGAGCTATATAAATGTGAAATGACCATGTACCATTTATGTATATTGTTCCAATAAAACAGCCAAATGTTTGAAATCCAATAGTGTGTGTAGAATTACAATTTTGTGCAAATGCATTAGTCTCATAGTCTCATTGCTGCTTCTTAACAACCTTGTATTAGAAACAGACTCTGAAATGTCCCTTGTTGCATCTGAGCAGTCTTTGCTTATTGAGGCTGATATAGGAGCAGCGTATAGCCTTTTATAATGCCTTGTGGGGACAGCAGCAACACATTGAGCTGAATTGTGCAGCTGGTAAATACAAAACATTTAAGATGTCAATATGATAAGTTCTCTCTATTGACACTTCATTACTGCAAAGAAGAGGGGGCATATGGAGAGGACACAGCTGTTAGGTCTGGTCTCTACAGCCCTACATTAAAACATTTTCATTTAACCCTTTGCCTCTTGGGACAAATTGACATCTCCCCTCTCCTCCTTCTCAGGGCTGGATGAATGAGATCACTAACTATGACCCTGAGATGTACCACGCCACCCTCACCCACTCTGTGTATGTGCGTCTGGAGGGCTCCGTGCTGCGCCTGTCCAAACCCAACCGCAATATCTCCCGCCGCGCCACCCACAACGAGCCCAAACCAGACGTCACCTATATCAGCCAGAAGATCTATGACCTCACCAACAGCAAGGTGCTTTAGAATTTGGTATTTTAATGCATCGCTGTTTGTGCCTCTGGACATGGCCTAGTATGAAATAACTTGAGCTTAAATGGCTGTGACATCGAGCACACGTCTTTTCATATTTGCCTTTGCCTTGAGAGTATGTTTGCTAAAAGGTCAGTGAGAAAATGACTCATTTTGACAATGACAGCGGCGTGTGTGTAAACAGCATTAATATATCTGCTGGTCATATGTCACTGTGCTAAATCCAGGCTTAAGGCAAATCGTGATCTTATTTTAAAATGATTTTGACATTTATAATAATCATGTGTAGTTGTAGTTGAAATTGTACATTGTTTTTATTGAATGGCATGTAAACAGATTGAGATTTGCAATCCGGTGTAATTGTGAATTTATTCAAAGAGCACTATGTGTTGCTACTGGGATGCTTCACAGTTGAACATTAAATTGATCTTTCTTGCTTTCACTGGCTTGAGTGTCTAAAAATCTGACCTGTAGCCCGGTGTCAGTTGCTTTTCTTCATAGAGACCGATTAGAGTTTAAATTCCAGGAAAAGCAATAACATCTCTGTAGTGACAAGCAGGTGGCAGACCCTCCACCAGAAAGGTTTCACGACTGAATTAGCACTAAATAACAATAATAGGTCTATTTAATTATCTTTTCATTATGAAATGTAATAAATGCATAATAACAATGCCTCTCTGGTGGTTTATGAGGGGCAGAACTAATCATTTCATCATACTTAATTGTCATTTGACATCCTTAGCACTCATCTAATGAATGTGGATCTACTGTATATTTCACAGATCTACCTAATGCCCCAGAGCCTGGCGAGGAAGAGAGTGTGGAATAAAAAATATCCCATCTGCATCGAGCTGGCCAAACAGGACGACTTCCTGTCCAAAGCCCAGGGGGAGAAAGTTGAGCCTGCGGAGGACAAGGCTGCGAGTCTCAGTGAGAAGATGGAGAAGGTAGATAAATGTGAGAAAGCTGAAGCATCTGCAGAGGAGCCCAAAAGACCAGCTTCAGGAGGAGGGGATCTGACCATCTACCTGTTTGGGAGGACTGGTCGGGAGAAGGAGGAATGGTTCCGGAGATTTCTGCTGGCATCACGGGTGAAGTCGGAATCTCGCCTGCCTGCAGTCAGTAAGAGTGGTGAGACCTTTTACTCTCACACATTTATGTTGTCATCTGTTTACTAAGGTGCAACAATTTCACAATTTCTTAACTAAAATCACTGAAATACAGAAATATTATGTTGTCAGTGAGTGTGTTTACATGCGCACAAGTATCCCGGCTATGATCAGGTTTTTTACGTATCCAGAATTGGGTGTGTCCACATATTTGCAGTATCCTGATTTCAGTAGGCTGGATAAGCCAGAATCCAGGTTATGAGAAACCAAGATACTCTCACTATTCTGATAGCATCCAAGATACTGTGCCATGTAGACGCAGTGTCCTTATTTCTCTAAACTGGTGATGTAGAAATGGTAGGAGCAGCAACTTCAACTCAAACTTCCACCAGGACCTTTTAAGTCATATTATTTTAAAACTATAAACAACATATACAATGCACCTTTTAACACAAGGCTAACTTCTGTGGCTGTTGGTGCTGCTCTTGAACTAAACTGTTGCGTTGGGACTATTACTAACAACTTTTACTGATGCTGACATTGCTTTACAGTCTTACTTTCTTATTTGAATGGACATCTTGTTATCTTGTCCCTTTATTGTTAGACACAGGCTCAAAAGTTACTGACATCTTTTTAGTTACCACTCGAAATATTCAGGATACTCTGATTGCGCGCGTACTAGTATACAGGGATATGAGTGTCCTAGTTACTCACATGTAAACTAAGTGTCCTGCTTTTTCTAATACCTGCCAATACCCAGTATTATCTAATACCTGTGCAGAAACTGAAATCAGCATTTATTTCCTTAAAACAAAAATAAAATAAGACAGTACTGATCCATATGTGTCATGTAGCTGTTATTTATCTCTCAGGGAACTACAGAACAACCTTGTATAAGTAAAAGTTTAAACATTAAAAGACTTTCTGCGACCAGTATGTACTGTAGTCTTATTACACCAGTTTAAATATCCAAACAGGGTATATGGCAGCCAATATCTGATCCAGCAAATTTTTCAGTATCAGCACCAAAATTAAATACCATCATTGGATTGGGTTCTGGTACGTGGAATGTACCACATACCACAGGTTTTGTTCATTTTTGAAAGACCAGGTTTTGCCTTTGGGTCAGAATTATGTCAAGATTATTATGCAATATTGCTTTTTGTTCTTAAATCCAGCTTTCCATGTACATAATTCATTCTTGTGCATATATCACTTCTCATGTTTGTTCTTGCTAGTTTGTTTCTGTCTCAGACCTTTGTGTAAACCCCATCTTAGGCAGGGGGCAATCCCCAGAGTGAATGAAAAGAGGGGTATGCGAATAGGTCAGCAAGATTACATGCACAGAGAAGCAGCACTGGTCCTATTGGATGTAAGCCGACAAGAATAAGGCTTAGTGAAAAGGAAAGGTTGGCATACGATTAGTGAGGATGGATGAAGCAGTTCTGCAGATACAATTGTTAATATGAGAATGGAAATAATAATGCTACTATTGAAAGTTATGGGAAATGCTATGCTATCCTGGTTCTGTTTTTATGTAAGCATGTAGGCCTGTGTGTGTGTGTGTGTGTGTGTGTGTGTGTGTGTGTGTGTGTGTGTGTGTGTGTGTGTGTGTGTGTGTGTGTGTGTGTGTGTGTGTGTGTGTGTGTGTGTGTGTGTGTGTGTGTGTGTGTAAATGATTGGGTAATGAACATTATCCCAGTAGGAATATGTTTTCAATCCATCAAATGTCTCACAAATGTTAAAGGATTGTAAAATTTACCAGAAGCATGCAGAAATATCACATTATACCCTTTTGTTACATTATATACTGTTCCTTTTCTTTTTCTTTATAATCAGCTTTAAAAAAAAATACTATACATTATGATAGACAACATAATATATTACACTATAATGAATATTATCTATATATAGCATATTATCTTGTAGACAAACATTGCCAGTTTCTTATATTTGAAATGGCACTCTTCATGAAAATTTAAATCTCTTCTTCTGTGCCTTATTATTTTGTATAATTTTGAAAGAAAGTGATCTCCTTTGTAATGCTGTCCCCTTTAGCCTTCCTGCCAGCCCACAGCCGCAGCAGCAGTCCCCAGACGTCCGTGTGCCTGGAGGCAGAGAGTCGCAGCAGCAGTCGGGGCAGTCTGGAAGAGGTGCCCCAAGTCCAGGGAAGAAGCAAAGACCCTCCCCCCACCACCACTCTGCCCTGTCCCACCGCCAAACAGAAGATGCTCCTGGACTATAATGTCTATATGGCCAAATATGTGACCACACAAGCTCCACCTAGAAGTCCCACCGGCAAAGACAGCTCTGGCAACAGCCCTGAGAGCAGCCCCAAAGCAGCCAGAAAGGCAAGGCAAAAAACACAATTTGTGTGCATGTTGGTGATATGGAAATTTCGTGCTAAGGATTATCTTTGGGGTTTTTTATCTTTGGATTTGGTATAGTGGTTTAATCTAGGTTAAAGGTAGGATATTACAATCACTAAAAAGCTCTTCTAAATTCTTTAAATAATGTGTGATTTTCACACAAAAAATTAATTGTCAGTCTCTTGTGGTAAAACATTTATGCATCTTATAATGTATGTGATTTTGATACTAAAGTTAGGTCCAATAATCCACAAAAATAAAGTTAAAAAATCATCACAACTTGATTTTCTGTTGCATAATTTTCTACTGCCATCTGTTGCATCAGTCCCAAAAGTGACTGTAATGAACCTAAGACCTAAGAAAACAAAAAAATATCCCTTAACGTTTGACTTAACATTTTTGGTTATTAAATGAAAGCCTTTACATCTCCCCATTTCCCATTAGGAGCAGAGGAGTTCAGAAGACCCTGCTGAACCTGAGGCCTGGGTCAATGCTTTTCTGGGGAGGATCTTCTGGGACTTTCTTGGTGAGAAGTATTGGGCTGATGTTGTCTCCAAAAAGATCCAAATGAAACTCAGTAAGATTCGAGTGAGTAGTGGTACAAGGTAACTCAGTTCAGAAACATTTTGGTTTGTATTGATGAGTTTCTTGTTGTTTCAGCTGCCCTATGTTATGAATGAGCTGACCCTGACTGAACTAGACATGGGCTGTTCCATCCCAAAGATCCTCCACGCCTCCAAACCCTCTGTGGACCACCAAGGTAGTTTCCCCACTTCATATGCTCTCATATGTGTTTTCTATTTTTTTGTGATTAATCCCATCCTAAAGTCTATTCTTCTGCATACCCTGCTCTAAATTAATTAGGCCCGAGCGCCAGAGGCTGGCGAAGGGCCTATTAGTATCGCAAAGCAATGCTCCAAGTGGCCAAAAAATGGAATGGCGCGCCGTGACTCGCCCGTACTGACCAGGGACCCTCCCCATCACGTAACAATGCGCCTGAGGTTTCCGAAAATGTATAGTTTGTCGGCCAAAAAAAGCGGAACATTGTTCTCGTATCGGTTGGTTATTCTCTTAACCAACTCACCCATTTTTCACCCACTGAACAATGACGAAAAGTCCTGAAATTTTGCCATCTGGTAAAACTCGCGCTTCTCTAACTTTTGGCTATTTTCATTTTCCAAAAATAAATAAAATGGCTCATCAGCGCCCCCAAACGACTCAAAAATGCATTAGGGAATACGAATGACACAAAAAAAAATTTGCATGTACAATCATAAAATTTGACACAGAAGTCGATCATGTCAAGACAAGGAAAAAATATTATTACGCCAACACCGTGTGCTCCACTAGGGGGCAGTAATATTGACTTAATGTTTGCTAAGCTTTTACGAACTCCTCTGAGGGCGTTCACCCGAACGAGCTCAAATTTGGTCCACATTATCTCAAGATGTGGAACATCAAAACTTATCCAAATTGTTCACACACGTCTTACGATCTCTGAGCAGTGAAGCAACAAAAAATGCATACAATTTTGAAGATTTACAAATTGCTCCCATTTGCTCAAATGAACTCCGATTTCAATGAAATTTGAAACAGTTGTTAAACTCTCTGCCCTGAAGCTAATGTGAAAATTATTAATTTGGCGCATTAGCGCCCCCTGTAGATTGAAACTAAATTTAATATGTGAAAAAATAATTTGTTCCCAAATACTTGTTCAAAAATTTCTGAAATTTTGCACAAAATTCCATTTTGTCATCCTGATCCAAAAGTCAATGACACCCATGTCATATTTTTTATGGCGTTGCCATAGCGATGACATAAACTCTCCATTGGTAAAATCTACAAATTCTGGCACAACTTTGGCCGATTTCTTTCAAATTTTAATCGCGGGTTCACACCCCGACCCTGAACAGATTTATATAAGAAAATCTCAGGTGGGCGCAATAGCGCCCCCTAGGGAAATTGCACGGTAGTGCCAAAATTTACTTTATCGCAGACATATAAAATTTGGTACACAGATTCATGACATGGTCTCGATCAAAAAATTTAGGACGACCCCATGCCATTTCCCCATCGTGTTGCCATGGTGACAGGCTAAACATCTGACCTCGCCAATAGGACGCCCAACAAAAACTTTGGCATAGCCAAACCAAATTTGGTACACAGATGCATCATGGGAATAGGAACAAAAAAGTATATTACGTGGTTGCTAGGCAACCAACAGGAAGTCGGCCATATTGGATTGATCAGGCGACGAAGGCACAAATTCCTGTCCTCATATTTGAACGAACTCGTCCTAGGTTGTTTGACCCAAACTCACCAGAATCATTCTGTATCATCTAGACAAGTGGGACATTAAAAGTCGTTAATTATAATTTTTTCAAGTTCAGCGGGCCGGATTAAATACGGGCCATAGTTTACCCACCCCAGGAGGAGCCAAACCAAATTTTGTAGGCAGATGCATCATGGCAACAAGACCAAAAATGTATATTGTGACCACGCCCCTTTACAAACCGGAAGTCCGCCATCTTGGATTTTTTTAACATTTTCAATAAACGCATGCAAAAATTTAGAAAAATTAATGGGTTAGGTTAAGTGTTAGGGTTAGGGCTGGGTCAATGGTGAGGATTACGACTAGGGTTAGATTTAAGATGAGGGTTATTAGCGTTAGTGCAGGGCACAGCGTTCTGAGGGGTGCAGCGTTCTGAGGGGTGCGTCGTGCTGAGGGGTTCAGCTTTTGCGGGGCGCGGTGTAAGCACGCGCGAGGGCCGATCATTGCCGCTTGCGGCTATATTTACAGTTATTATGATCAACTAATCAATGAAATGAGAATAAATAGGGACAATTTCTTCTTTAACTGTGATTGCAAGATGGGAGGTTTGTTGGAGATTTCTACCTCAGATGATGTGTAGCATATAGTCTTTTTCAACTCATTTATTTGAAGTCTCTATTTCCTTAATGTATATTTTTAGAGCATTTACTGAGGAGTGGCATCTTTGTTGTCATATTTCGGTTTCCACTGGCAGCCACTGCTCTACAGCACAGAGTGTGATGCTATTACTGCCTTGTGTCTGTGAAAGTACACACCCACACATTTACTCATGCCGCTGTGTCAGTAGATCCAAGCACATAATTAGTATCTGAGTAATGGCTTTTGTTGAGCGTTGAAGAACATGGCCATAGATAGTAAAAGTGTAGAGGTGACATCATGCTGAAGATAATCTCACTGTATACAGTATACACCTAAACAAACACACTATTTATGGCAATAAAGCTCTGAAATGTTACATCACATCTCAGAATTTAGCCTAATGTTAAACCATTGGATATTTTAAGATGCTAAATAATGTTCATTCAAAATATTCTGACACTATAGTATGATAAATGTTACTAGTAAGCCAGCATCTTATCGGGTTCTACGGCTCATTTGTTTTGCAAATGTTTCCCTATAGACTTTTTGCACCTTTTGCACGTTTTGCATTTGATCCTAGGCTGTATTGATCTAAAAGGTTACTACATTTTGGATTTTGTCAAAGTGGACTGGAAGTTTCAATAAAAAATGCCGCTTGTTGATAACGGACCTTTAATGTGTGCTTTCCAGACTGATACTCTATCAATACAAATATTACCAGACCATATGACTGTGCTTTTGTGAAGACTATGAATCTAGCAGTTGACAGTGGAATATGTATTCTTTAAATACTAACCCTGTTTGTATTTTGTTTTTAGGTCTGTGGTTTGATTTGGAGATCACTTACACAGGGTCCTTCCTTATGACATTGGAAACCAAGATGAACCTAGCTCGCCTTGGAAAAGAGGGGGAGGGGCTTGGAGAGCAAGGCAAAGAATGGTGAGACAGATTTCTGTTTTAAGAAAAAAATAAAATAAAATCCACTTATCAATTTTAAACTTTGTTTTTACCTTAATAATTGTTGAGCTAGCTGTATTAGTATTCATGTTATCCTATTTTGCTGGTTCTTCCACCCTTTTCTTCTTCCACCAATTCTCTCTCTAAATGCATACTCCTGTGGATTTACACATTCAATGGTGAGTTTGGGAAAAGATGCCAATATCTGCCCAATTGCCTGGATTGTTTATCATAAATATTATGATAAATATTTTAATGAAATAAATAAACATTAAGGAATGCAGCGTGTAGAAAAGACTGATGTATGTGCTTGCCACTGAACATAAAGAATATATGTGTGCTTAACAGGTCCAGGCCCAGAACCTACTGTTTAGCGGACAGTGACGAGGAATCCTCAAGTGCTGGCTCATCAGACGAGGAGGAGCCGCCCGAGCTGCTTAGTGACAAAACCATTTTACCTGGAGGCGAGGGGTGAGTTCAACACAATGTAAAACATAACCTGAAATGAAGGAAATGTGTGTGTGTGATGGGGCATGCTGTTCTAGCCACTAAATTTATGCCACCTACTTATTTGCAAATGTCTGTCGCTTTCTGTTGATGTAATGTCATCACACAGCATCTTTGTGTGGGTGCTGAGAGGCAGGAGATGCTAGTATGAATTAATTATGAACCTGACTCACTTTTTGCCTCGCCTCCTTCTCCTTTTTTCCCTGTAGCTACGTGGGAGGGCACCGGCCAAGTAAGATCATGCGCTTTGTGGACAAAATTGCCAAGTCAAAATATTTTCAGAAAGCCACAGAAACAGAATTCATCAAGAAGAAGATGGAGGAGGTGTCCAATACACCTCTGTTACTCACTGTGGAGGTGCAGGAGTGCAAGGGGACCCTGGCTGTCAACATCCCACCCCCTCCCACGGACAGAATATGGTACATTTATTTCTATGGCACCAGTGCTTTAAAACATGAATGCAGGTCACTAGTGCACTCAGTTTGTCAGTGCTCCCTCTGGTGGTCAAATGTATGAAAATGTACTACCTTTATCTAAATTCTTTATTTACCTTTATGTAAATACCTTTAGTACTGGCATTTTACAAGCTACCTGGGGACTACAGTTGGAAAGTAGGTGTATAGCTAATACTGGTGCATTTAAAGAAATATTTATTAATGTTCATTGTCACATTCAAATAAATGCATATGATTTATGCATACTTTTAAACAGTACCTGCCACAGTGACCATGCAGTTTTGTATTATCTAGCTCTTTATGAAAATGCTTACAAGATACAGAAATGGCTCTGCAACCATAAAAGTTATAAAGCACCATAACATTACAAGCAGATAACAACTGTACCGAACTTTTAAAAGAATATTTTCTTTTGGGTCAGGTATGGTTTCCGGACTCCACCTCACCTGGAACTTAAAGCACGGCCTAAACTGGGTGAAAGAGAGGTTACCCTGGGACATGTAACTGACTGGATTGAGAAAAAATTAAATCAGGAGTTTCAGGTAATTTATTTATCTTTTTTGGAAAGAATTATATATACTTTTTCTTCCATCACACATAAACATTGAAATAGCGAAGTGTCTAACCACACACCTTCATTATGGCCTATTTCTGTTTGAATTAATATTACGCACAGCAAAGACTGAGTTTCAGACTTGTTGATGGAAGAATAGCAAGTATGTAACATTAAAAATAGCTTGCTTTAACATTGATATTTTGTCTTATGCTGCAGAAAATCTTTGTGATGCCAAACATGGACGACGTGTGGCTCCCATTAATGCACTCTGCAATGGACACGCGTTCAAATGTCAACCTGGTGACTGTGACAAACGAGGCCTTGAAGGACCCAGAACTGTCCGAATCTGAGGTCTCTGAGTTAGAAACGTAATGTAAACAGGAGGACACGTAAACCACCATCATGGCAATATGACTGAATACACAAGTACCTGGCCCATCAGCTGCTAAAGGTACAGCTGAGGTCATCCCAATGGTCTCTTCCTGTTTTTTTTTGTTTTTTTTCCATTTTTGTCCAATTGCCAGTGGCTGCCTTTGAAGCTCTTAAACTGAAAGTAATTTAGTGGTTTGAAAAAAAAATCCAAAACTAAGACTCAGATATCACTTAATAGGATTGCCAAATAGCCATCACATTTAAACAACATGTGACCATTTTCTTATTTGACAATTTAGAGGTCACTTTTTATTTGATTAATAGAAAATTATTACTGTTATTGTCTGCATTTTATAGTCATTTTGTTCTGAGGTTGTGAATAATCATTTAACAGGGATCTCGACATTTCTTACAGGTGTCATGTATGCAAAAAATATTGACACTGGGTCCACTGTAACGGCTCCAACTGCTGTAGATAGGCAATACATCCAGGCTGTGCTTAGAGTAGATTCAAGGTCGTACAAAACTGGCTTTAAGGGTTGTGAAAATGTCTTTACCAACACAGCAGCTCAATAATGCCTATAGATGAATGTTAAAAAGGAAAAGTTACTTGTCATCTATATGAGCTTTTAAGAATTTGTGCTTTTTGACATTTTATTTGGGGTCGAAAATAAGTAATAACCGTTTTTATTGCCAAAGCATTTTTTGTGTTTTGTGTGTACAGTATGTGGTGGCAAACAAGCAATCAACTGAACTGGAGAACTGCAGCAGGACTTGAATGACCAATAGTTGAAGCACTGTTTATTTGTAACAGATGTAATGTACAGGTGTTTGTTCACATCAGGAGACTTACATGGATGTTTTCATCTAACTGGATATCAGCCATATTATTTATTATTGTAAGCAATCATCCAGCTAATGAATGCTGTTAGTATTTATTGTGTTCTTTCTGTACTGTATGTGTGTACTGTCGCCTACAACTTTACTAGAACAGCCTATTCCAGTCTGCCAAGACATCCAGCCGCTTTTAAAGGTGAATCTATGTTTTGTTTTAATATGTATTGTGAAATGAGGCAGAAAGTGCCTTTAAATAATCAACATTCCCTCATAGTGAGCCATCACATTTTGAGAATGAAGTGGATGCGTTTTGTGCCATTACTTTTAATTTTTTACAAGTCCCATTGTTTTTCCATTTTTGGTGTTTTTGCACAGTGCTTAAAATAGTAACATTACTGTTGTGTTCAGTGATGTCACAAAATGTTACAGTTGATCATTGTGGATCAATAAAAACTTTTGCTTGAAAATGGAGTGGCCTACTTTCCAATAAATTCTCAAAATTACATGATGATCTAGCCATGGCAAGAAAGACAGCATTTGATAATTTTCATATCACAAGTAATGATAGATTTACAACATAAAGGCTTTATACAGGATTTTTTTTATTTATGTAGATGTACACTGAAAAAGAATACCTGCAAAGAAAGAAACACATTTTAGTATTTGCAGTACGTATAGACAAAATCAAAACAAAACAATGTGTAGTGGGTCTTTTCAGATTTGTTTTGTCTTCAGTCTAGCATCAGAAGTCTAACGCATCATTGATCATCACAAACCCATGTTTGCACATATACATTATTATGCTTACCGTACTGGCGGTCTTTCAAGTCGTGAAGCCAGGCCTGCAAAAGAAATTAGTTAAAATCTTTCCTTGACCTGTGATGAACCGAGGTGGGTCTGTGTAACAAATTTCTTAAGTCAGATTTTATAGATGACTTCATTTCAATATCAGAAGTCTAACGCACTTAAATCATCACTCGGTAAGAAACTACAGGCTACATTTTCAATGAGATCTGTGACTCTCACCTTCGCACATTAACTCCAATAATCCATATGTGATGGAGGCTTACAGCTTCAATCCATTGCTGCCATTTTCACTGAAAAGCAACGAAACAAGTACAGCGATATATACATTTACATTTAAATATCAAATACAATTTACCTTTAAGACGTTCGAGCACATGGCTCCACACGAGGTTGCCAGACCTAGAGCTGGCAGCTAACGAAAATAATGAAAACAAATCATCATCTGCTGATTCAGATCAAGAAACAAAACTGTAAATACAACATAAAATACTTAAATATGCACGTTTTAAAAATAAGACATAAAGCTATTTCTCGAGCTACTCGAAGCTCACACGTGCATGCTCCGCAGACTGCCACAAACCTGTCCGGATGTGGTTTATAGTGTTTCCGGTTGGAGTCTCTTCTCATTGGTTGGTCTGTTGTTTGCGTCTCCCTCCTCCGCCTGTGTGCTCGTCTATCCCAAAGTCCAACCCCCACGGCTTTCATTTCAGGAAGAATTAACACAAACGCCATGTAGAGAGTTTTTCCCTCAGTTGTTTTATTGTTCCGATTTATGGCGATTTGACGATATTTGTGAGGTTTACAATCTCAAGCATCCTATGTAGCCAACAGGCCTACGACCCAAGTGTCTGCCGGTTTGAGACCAGAAACATGGACTGGACGATTAGCAGTCGGGCCCTGGTGTGGTGCATTTTGGCATTTCTTTGCTGCTTTGGATTCCCACAAAAGGTGAGAGCTATCACTAATAAGTTGTAAGCTTGTGGTTTTAACACCATTGTCCCTAATATTTACCCCACTGTCATCAGCAATCCTTAAATGCACTGCGATGCCGCAGTGGCACACACATGCGTTCTCTAAATTAGTTGCTAATGCTAGCCAGGTTTTTTAGCTCCAAACACACTGTTCATATTTTACATGAAATTAAATTTTATCAGATATTTTTAGGTCTTTCTATCGATCTAAAATGTGCCTGGTGACCTGAAGTGTCTTACGATATATCCTTGAATTCAAGGTAACATTTTCTTTGTTTACCATTTAGAGATGCCAATACTATGCCCTCAAGATCAAATGTTGTCTGTGTCAGTATCTCTGTATCACACACACACGCACACACACACAATGTTATGTTTTGTGTTATTTTGTCATTTGGATATAATATAACAATATTTGTCTGCATTTGATGGAGCAGTGGGTAGAATATAAGGGTTAGCATCTTTGTGAAACAAATCACAAATCACAATTTATTTTTCATTTATCACCACACAGCTGAACTAGCTAACATGCAAATTAAATTAGCCTTTTAATCCCTTATTATCCCCAGAGGGTCTGGTTAAATAGATTGCTAATGATAAGCTTAAGTTGTTTGCACAATGTTACTCTTGTGTAAGTGAAGTGAATCTATAATTTTGTTCATTTCTAACTTCCTCAATTGCAGCATGTATTAAACAAAGTTGTTACTCATGTTTAAGTCTGTGAGTAAGTATTGCCACATGCTTACTTTGTGTTGAAGAGCCAAATGAACTAAAGCAATGTTTGAGTGAAAATGTGATCAACCACTATCTTATCACTGTTGGAGGTTGGGAGTGGGAGTTTGAAGTGTACATGAACGAGGGCCAACATGTGACATCTGCCAGAATGAAGCAATGAATGCAAAGAGCAGACATAGGCCAATATTGCCTGTAGTGTCCTCAGTGTATATGAATGTATTAAAATGGATAACAATAAAAAATGAGAAACGTTTAATACTCCCTTGCTGCTTTGGGACCAGGCAGATTGAACTGTTCAACTGTTTAACAACACATGTTCATTTCACACATGGCTAGACTTTGTTGCGCGACAGCCTTAACGCTTTTTGAAATGCAGCAGTAACATGCATTAATAAATGGTGCAACATGTAATCCATGACTTGACAGCATGACACTTCCTACAACAAGACCCGATGTGTGGTTGTTTGTGGTTCCTGTGACTGTGCAAACAGACCTTCTGCATCTGCTACAAGATGGTCAGTGTAGTTGTAATATGAGTGAAGAGTTTTGATGATCATAAAATGATATTTCCACTTATTTATAGTGGATTTTTAAGTTCATCAAACACTACCAGGCCTCCTTAAGAAAGACACAGAACAGAAGTTTGGCCCGGATTTTGGTTTCGCCCTGTTCTATCCTGTTATGTAATACACTTGCGCAACTGCCTAAACATTTCAATGTAGCAAATTATAGAGGGATTTTAGACTTGGTTGGTTCATATCCTACAGGGCTTTTACTAATTTAATAGAGCCGTCTTTTTTCTTTCTGTTCATTTGTGTGATGCACGTGTGGTTTATTGATGGGAACTGTAACAGGTGCTGGTGTGTTTGAGAGTAAAGTGGCGGTCCGGTCACCAGTTTCATTTACCATGGTAACATAAAAACAGTGTTTCAGTTCATTTGACTTTTGCCATTTGCCTACTGTTTCAAAAGCTAGATGAAAGTAAGTACAACTGCAACAGTAGCCTGTGTTCTGTTCCTTTCTGCAGAACACTTGATAGCCTTGGGATAAGAGTTTTCTGGCCTTGGCCATAGTAGATGCATTTGCAAAGTAACCAGCAGAAATACCCAGATGTGGTTGCATTTGTCCCCTGTAGACCACATGCTCCAACCTAACCCACCAACATAAGTGGTTTAGTGTCTCCAAAGAGCCCTTGAATAACTGCTATAAAGCCCATATGCAATTAGAGATGGGTCCATTTGCATTTGCTAAGGGCTGTTTGTTCTGGCCCCAGGGCCCTTTTTAAAAGTACTCGCTTCAATATTCATTTGGCCCAATAGCTAAAATGAGGATTTTTTTTATACCAAATTATATGGGTAGTGACTTTACTTGCACCTATTTGTGCACCTTTAAACCTGGGATGTAATTTGTTAGCGTAACACTTCATGTTTTTTAAACATAGTTTATTTTATTGTGTTTGTAGGGCTGTTTTTGCAATGCCAGCACAGTTTCCCTTCCTGAGAGTCTGCTTTTTGTATCCACTCTGGATGGAAACCTCCATGCCGTTAGCAAGAAGTCGGGCTCTATCAAGTGGACTTTAAAAGAAGGTACAGTAGAACTGTATTATAATATAGAGGTGCATTTATGCTTGATTGCCCTGTTGTTGACTGAGCACTATACTTAGACATGAAATCTGGATAATGATTAACTTACAACACACATCAAGGACAGTGTGGGTAAGGGTAGGGGGCTTGACTATCATATTGTCAGCTTTGGACCCATTGTATGCATGGTATCCACAAGCATCCACAGACTAAATAGAAGTATAAATATAAGATACACAATCTCTATAAACACAATGGTTTGTTTTAATGTTGTCAGAGCAAGGGTTTTATCTGCCACAAACATGATCTTGGACATAGTTGAAAGATTTTTGGAGAGGTCTGGGTCACTTTGGCATTAACAAAAACAAACCTGACCTCACTTCAGATCAGCTTTGAACACTGATGCATAGCTGTCTATAGCTGCAGCGTCAGCACATATCTTTTCTGTGGCTATATCAAGCAACAATGATAAAGGTGCTTTGTTGTTTTACTAAGCTACAGATATTTTCAAAAGATTGGCTCAGTATTCAAGCCTCAAGGCTGTAAAGTTTATTCTTATTTTACTCAGAAAAACAACTACCAGTACACTGCATTGTCCATTAATATTCAAATCAAGTTAATAGGCACAGACTGCTTCCTCCACTTCATTTGTTTTTTTGGAAAATGTATTGCATATTAATTTGAGCAGCTCTGGCCCTGGCTCTGCACACACCTGTTGTTTTGTTCCAGTTCAACAGCCACATAAGGAGGGTTGATCTAAAATCACAAGCCAGTTCTACATAGACAAAACTATGTGTTCCATTGTGTGCATGGTTTTCCTTGGGTTAGTGGCAAACATGCTTATGAGTATCCGCCCACTGGGTTAATTGTATTGCTGGTGCTACAGCAAGCAATGGTTTATCACCCCAGTCTTATAATGAATGTTGACAGTTGCCCACCTTTGAGTAATCCTCCACTAGCTCTTGGCTATTGATGACCCCCCTTGGCTATGATTAGGGATCAGCACCATCTGGTCCACGCCCTCTGAGTTCACAACACCGGGTGGAGTGTGTTTGCTTTGGTGATTTGGTTAGACTACAGCTTTAGCAGTGGGCTTGAATTACAATATTCTATGTCTAGCATCATTACTGCTGCTGACAAATCATATTTCATTTACTTTCTTCATTGACATTCTCTCTTTTCCGCCTTACAGATCCAGTTCTTCAGGTCCCCACTCATGTTGCAGAGTAAGTTCATTTCTGTGTTCATAAGCATGCACTGCAATGCAAATGTCTGTTAGAAAAGTCACCAGACCAGTGTAAACCTGTTAGTCGTCTTGTAATAATTTCAAAATTCCTCATGTGTTTGCAGGCCTGCCTTTTTACCAGATCCAAATGATGGTAGCTTGTATTCACTTGGAGGAAAAAACAATGAAGGGCTCACGGTAGGAGGAACTAACTTTATGAAAAATCAGTTCCCTTTTGCTAAAAAAAATCTATTACTAATTTCCCTATTCACAAGAAATAAAGTAATGCTGCCAAAATTTCAAGCAGTCAATTTTGATATATACTATACTATACAGGATAATATTTTTTTTTATTTTATTTTAGAAATTGCCATTTACAATACCTGAGTTAGTCCAAGCTTCTCCGTGTCGCAGTTCAGATGGAGTTCTCTATATGGGTATGTAGCAAACAACATCTTGTGTTTACACAGGTGCAAATGTACTGTTAACATGAGATAAATATTTTTGTACTGACAAATGTAATTTTAGAATAGATAAAATGACAAAAGGCAATAATACCTGGCTTATCTTTAACTCCTCTTATGTTTTGCTTCAGCCTCATTTGCATTCATAACATTCATAACAGGTAATGAAAATGCAAACGTAATCTCCCAGTCTGCCTGTGCTCATTTGTTTTAAACAGTTTTAACTGGCAATATTATCTGTCCTTCTTTCAAACTCGTTTTCTGTCAACTGAAGCTGCTACTTCCGAATAACTGAAATATATTCCATCTAAAACAAAAAACAAACAAACAACATAACAGTTCTGAGGCTGCAATCCCTTGAAATGCTTCATAAAGTCTTGAGTTGCAATAACGGGACTATGTCTTTGCAGGTAAGAAGCAGGACTTATGGTACGTGGTGGACCTTTTGACTGGAGAAAAGCAGCAGACCCTGACGTCCTCATTCGCTGAGATGTTTTGTCCATCATCATCTTTGCTCTACTTGGGACGCACAGGTGCTTAAAAAGCTCAGCAAACTGCAGCCTTCATCTAATACTTTTTCTTTGCATTCACTCTTTTATTGTATGTGTGTATGAAAAACCTCTAGTTCCTTGCACAGACCAATTGCGTAAGATGATAACAAGTTACAGAGTTACTTCTCATCTGACAAACTATAGACAATGAAATAGAATGGTCCCACATTCTCGTTACCCACAACAATGAACCAGTCACAATTATGCCTGCGCTCTTTAATTTGTACTAACCACAGCAGACCAAAAACACTGAAAATCTCTGATAAAGTCATCTAAACATCTTGCTATGCTTGCTTGCTTCCTGCTTTTAACGCTGTTACTGAGGACAGATTATCTCTGTGTATGCTATTCTCTAACCTTACCTGTTAGAGGTCACTCATAATGTTATCCTACATTGGTGTATGTAACATTGCTATGGCTACCCCCAGTAATTTTTGTGTGAGAAAGTTAGTGCAGACAATGACCTAAGCCCTGGAGTCAGTGGTGTCAAGTATTAGCTAACTGTGTAGCCCAAAAGCATTTGTGCCAGATTTCATTGTAACTCAACCTTTTAACGACGGGGGTATTGAGCACCACTTTGCATTCGCAGCTGTACAAATGATTTTTCTTTTCGTTTTTGTAGAGTATACCATTACAATGTATGACACCAAAAGCAGAGAGCTGCGCTGGAATGCCACTTACTCTGATTATGCTTCAACGCTTCCTGATGATGATACAAAGTACAGTAAGTGACCACAGACTTTGTTATGTTTATTTATCATAAAATATGTGCAGTTAAAAACAAATTTTTTGTCAAGTCAAGACTTCATTTCACATTTTAACTTCTGCTCTACCAACCAAAACTATTAATACAAAAAAAATAATTGTAACATTTATTTCTGTGTGTGTGTGTTTTCGTGATTATAATAAAACACTTTTATACTATTTCAGTTACTCTTCCCTTTAAGTGAAAACATGTTAAAAAGTTATTATTTATTAGTCTAATAATCGCATTCCTTTCTTTTGCAGAAATGGCTCATTTTGTATCAAATGGTGATGGCCTTGTGGTAACTGTGGACAGTGATACTGGCGATGTCCAGTGGGTGCAGAACTACAACTCACCAGTAGTAGCCATGTACATTTGGCAGCGCGAGGGCCTTCGGAAAGTGCCTCACACAAATGTTGCCGTGGAAACCCTGCGTTATCTCACTTTCATGTCAGGAGATGTTGGGCGCATTACACAGTGGAAGTACCCATTCCCCAAAGAGCAGAAGCCCAAGAACAAATTTTTGTAAGAAGTTCTCTATTCTTCTCCAGCTAGAAATGTGTAGGAAGTGTATTCCTTTATATGTAATCCATATTGGTTTGCTATGATTAAGTAAAGTGTGTCTATTGTATTTTGTTTAGGTAATGTCATGTCTGGAATAAAATGTGTTGGTTATTTTATTTTGTCTAAATTCATAAATGATTTTTCTCTCTCAGGGCCACATTATATGTGGGCAAATATTCCACAAGTCTCTATGCCTCTCCCTCTCTTGTTCATGATGGTGTGACTGTGGTGGTAAGTAATAAATACAAATGCTTTCAAAGTTACATTTAGTAAGGTGTGTCCCTTTTTGTTGTGAAAGAAAAAATATAGCTTGTGAATGTCACGGTATACTTTTACACCTATACTACACAACTGTATCTTTCACACTTTTTGACAGAGAAGGTCTGGCTCTTGTTTCTTCATCATAGTCTGTTTTTGTATAGATTTCCAAAAGCCTGCTCATTATTGCATATACGGTGATTTAATGTTTGGTGTCTTTGTGCAGCCTCGTGGGAGTACTTTTCCCATGCTAGAGGGACCAGACAGCCAGGAAACTGAAGAGGACAAGGAATGTGTCATCACTCCAAGCACCAGTGTCAAGTTTAACGCTGCACTTCGGGAACGAAATCGTATCAATTTTATGAGGAACTACCTACTTTTGATTGGTATGTTTGACTTTTGTATGCAACGCTGCCCCCGGTATGTATAACTATATAAGTTATTATTAAACTTGCCTCCGTTTGTTTTAGGTCACCATGAGACCCCTCCAGAAGCTCACCACAAGATTCTAGAGAAATTTCCTGACAGCTTTCCTCGCAATCAAGGCAATGTCATCCCACCTACAACAGACAAGAAATTAGATGAGGTGAGTTCATGAATATTATGGGAACCTGGTCCTTGTATGCTTTTTTTCTCATCCTTTTGTCCTCTCTCATGTAGAAGGTGAATGACAGCGGAATGAATGATGGTACCCCGACACCTCCTCCTCCTGAAACTTCAATACAAGAACCGGGAGCAAGTGGGCGCTCTATGAAACCCGAGGCCCCAGTGGACTCAATGCTCAAAGACATGGCTACAATAATCTTCTCTACCTTCCTTTTGGCTGGTTGGCTGGCTTTTGTCATTACCTATCCAAAGGCAAGTGTGCCCCCTGTATGTCTTTTTAGTTCATAGTATACCTGATGGATAGAACATTTACTAGATTGTTCTCTCTATCTGTAGAGTGTGCAAAAACAGCAGCAGCTTCAGCACCAGGAGTTTCAGAGGCAGATGGAAGAGAGACTGGAGCTGCTTAAGAGGCAGCAGCCATTTCCCACCACAGACCTGGGACTGACTCTCACACCGGACAGTGACTATCTGGATGCGGCCCACCTTCGCTCAGAGGGCTCTGACCACAGCAGCCCCAATGTCACGCCCCGAGCATCCAACCACTCCAATATGTCTACATCTGAAATGGGAAACTTGGCCAATGAACATGATGATGGAGGTAAAAACTGAAAACTGCTTTTGTTGAAAAAAAAATTGACATTATTTCTAAAACTAAAAATCTTTTCTTTCTCATTAAAAGAGGACACGAGCATGGTAAGGGTGGGCAACATAACATTCCATCCTAAAGAAGTCCTAGGTCATGGTGCAGAAGGAACTATTGTGTACAGGTTTGTTCATTTGTTCAGCATTGTTTTTTGTATTGTATATTAATGAAAACCACATCTAATAATGTTATTCCTCTACAAAGGGGTCAGTTTGATAATAGGCCTGTAGCAGTGAAGAGAATCCTCCCTGAGTGCTTCAGCTTTGCAGACAGAGAGGTTCAGCTTCTTAGGGAGTCTGATGAGCATCCGAATGTGATCCGCTACTTCTGTACGGAGAGAGATCGCCAGTTTCAATATATTGCCATTGAGCTGTGTGCTGCTTCTCTTCAGGAGGTAATAAGGTTTTCATATATACACTGATGTTACACTTAACTTACCTGTGTGATGTAATATTAGCTGTGGCCTTTCATTTTAGTTTTGATATAATTATGTTGTGTTTTGTGTGTCTAGTATGTGGAGAGGAAAGACTTTGATCGCCATGGACTTGAACCAGTCATGCTCCTTCAGCAGACAATGTCAGGACTTGCTCACCTTCACTCTCTCAACATAGGTATTTAAAGATACACTTGCACCTGCCACACTCTGCAGGATCATTTTCATAATGTAGGATAAGATTTGTTTCTCCCCGACTTTGGGGAGGCATGACCCGAGTTTGCGTTTTTTAATCTGTGCTCTGGTGTCACTGTGACTCTGAGCTGTTCTGCCGTAATGTAACCACAAAGTATCACCATGGCAACAGCCAATAAAATGTATCACCAGGGGCAGACGGAGTGATGGACACAGAGGCACAAGATACAAACTTTGGGAAATAACTGTATTACTCACCACTCTTAAAGTTGTAAAGTAGAAGATTCTCATCCATATTATACATTAGTGTTTGCAATCCGCAGATAATGGCACCCAGTCCACAAAACAAGCGCTATTAATCCTGTTTGAAGCCTTCTTTAAAAAGTAAAACGGCATATTTGTTTACATCCAGTGAAGACCAGAGTGAAGCTGCTACAGATTAGCAATAGTGACTCCACTGTAGTTTATCGCCAGTGACTCCACTGTAGTTTATCGCATTTATGTGAATTGCACATTTCACAAATATAACGCAGTTTTGACTAGAGTAAACTAGAAATGCAATGCGCTGATCTTTTGAACACTTTTGAGTTTCAGAGTGTTTTATTGTACAAAGGAAACAGCTGGATGTGCGCTCACAACTTTTATCTTGTGGTGCATGGTCTTGTTGCTGCCATATCCCATTAGTCTTTGCGTTTGGAGATTTAAAATCTCATATGATTCTCCTTGTGTCTATGTCGGCACTTTTTGTTACACATTAAAAACATCTCTTAAGACTAAAAAATGAAGTTGTGTGTGGCAAGCTTTAAACACAACTTTGGATCTTGCAACATATATGTATGTATGTATATTACACAATTGTCTTTTTTTTTTCCTCAGTGCACAGAGATCTGAAGCCTCACAACATTTTAGTTTCAATGCCCAATGCTCATGGTCGTGCCAAGGCCATGATTTCAGATTTTGGCCTGTGTAAAAAACTTGCTGTGGGCCGACACAGCTTCAGCAGAAGGTCTGGTGTCCCTGGTACAGAGGGATGGATCGCACCTGAAGTTCTTAGTGAGGACTGCAAAGATAACCCAGTAAGCAACTAACAGTTGGGTAGTAGACATAAAAACAAGAAAACAGCAGGCTAAAGATAAGGAATTGTAGACTATTGATGACACTGACATGTTTTCTTTGATGCCATAGACATGTGCCGTGGATATTTTCTCTGCTGGCTGCGTCTTTTACTATGTGGTGTCCCAAGGCAGTCATCCTTTTGGTAAATCTATACAGAGGCAAGCCAACATTCTACTTAGTAAATACAGTCTGGAGCACCTCCAAATTGACAAACATGGTGAGAATGGTTCTCTGAGGTTCAAAAGCTTTTAATATGTTAGACATTGTTATATATATGATATTACTGAGTTGCTTATGACTTTTCAACAGAGGATATTGTAGCCAGAGATCTGATAGAGCAAATGCTGAGTATGGAGCCCATTAAAAGGCCCTCTGCAGAGTGTATCCTTAAACACCCGTTCTTTTGGACCTTGGAAAAGGAGTTGCAGTTCTTCCAGGTATGTATGGAGTACAGGTGATGATTCGTGTTTTACCACATCGTTTAGAATGAGACTTTATTGTATTTCCTATTTTAGGATGTTAGTGATAGAATTGAAAAGGAACCGCTGGACGGACCAATTGTTAGACAGCTGGAAAGAGGGGGAAGGGCTGTGGTCAAGAACGACTGGAGAGAGCACATTACTGTACCACTGCAAACAGGTATGACCATTGACTGCACAAATGAGAGAAACTTTAAGTCCAATACAGTCATTAACTTTTTATTTTTTGTAGATTTGAGGAAGTTTCGTTCCTATAAAGGTGGTTCTGTTCGAGACTTGTTGCGTGCAATGAGAAATAAGGTATGACTGGTTTTGATCATAATTTTTCTCTTTGCTACATCAAATTTAATGAAGTTTTCCTCTCTTAACAGAAACATCACTACAGAGAGCTGCCTGCTGATGTCCAAGAGACTCTTGGCTCTGTCCCAGATGACTTTGTGTCATACTTCACATCCCGTTTTCCTCATTTACTCATACACACATACCTAGCCATGCGGACCTGTGTAACAGAGAGGCCTTTTCTGCCTTACTACTCTCCAAAAATGCAGCTTCTACAAACAGTAATTGAACATGCTCATAAAGATGCACAAAAACAAAATGACCAATGCCAACCGCAAACATCATTAGGAACTACACAAGAACCTTTGAAACCACCACCACAGTCCTGTGAAATGACACAGTTGTCTTCATCACAAATGTTGCCTGTTGAAACGGTGCAGCAACAAGACCTGATTGATCAGGTACAATGTTCTAACATTTTATTGAAGGAAGAACAGTCCAAATTGTCACTGGCCCTCCCTTCTTCACCGGATCATAAACCTGACTCAGTGGAACCAGGTTTCGAGGACATCGCACAGACACAAACGTTGCCTTAAACGTGGACTCAAAAAGGGAACGTTGCTTTGCTGATGAGGACCAGGCCTGCAGTGCCTGGGATGCACTGGTTGAAGCAGCTCTTACCTTTCACAAAGTGCCTTCGGCTCGCCAAGTTTTGCCATGTCATTTACTTGTCGGGTTGTCTTGTAACAGGGCTGTTAAGTGAATATTTTATTTTGCAACAACGTCCAAAATGGTATTTATCTGTAAATGGCCTTTTGTAAGAAATGTAGATGTTGTTGAGATTTTTGGGTAGTTTTATTGTGCAATCTTGTACAGTATTTGAGTGTGTTCAGTGCACATATTTTTGTACAGACTGATTCTTAAATATGGATCACTGGTAATTTTATGTGGCCAATGTGCCTTTTTACCACTGTGCTGAAGACAGCTTTTTTTAAAACTATGCTAAATGTGCTTGATTCCAACTTGTGCTGCTAGCTCCTAGTAATTTGCAAATCAAGCTCAGAAATGGACTGCTCGAAAGATTGTGTAGCTTCTCTATACTTCAAATTAAAATCAGTGATCATATGTGGTTTTATCAGAGGCCATAATTCTGTTGCAACTTTGTAAGACATGGCATAAATTAATGATTATTTGCACATTAAACATTTATTACTTTTCTATTTAATATAAATTGTTAATTTGTGTTTTCAAGTTTATTTTGCAAGTCATTTGGGACCATAGACTGTAGTCTGTCCTTGAGACATACATCGTGAATGTTTGTGCATTAAGCTACTTTATTTTATTTTTTTTATTCAAGAACAACCAGGCCCATCATATCAAGCCAAATAACAGAAGACTACTGTCAATGATCGGGATGTTGTAGGAATTCTGATGTTTTGATATCAACTCACACATAACACGTGTTTATCGGCGAGTGTGAAGCGCATAAGGATTTTTGTCCATTGGAGCTTACCTTACTTGACCCATAACAACCTTTTAGCTTGTCCTCTCACTCGGTTGTCTAAATTATTCATTCTTTACAAATGATGATTCTTGATTCTTTGGCAAGTCGGTACGTAACTGTTACTTGTCAACTAAAAAGGAAATGACACCGCACACAGAAACTTTGGAGTTGCTAGCTAATGCTAACGGCTAACTTAAGCTAAAAACAAAGTGTAGATATGATTTTTTCCGTGTGCGTTTTCTAGTTATCAGAGTGCACTGCATTCGGCTGCAAAGATAAGACATGAGACTCAGATTGCATTACCATGAATCTGGCTCAATCGCTGCAGTTTCTGTAGCGTTTGCTTATGTTAACTTGTTAATAGTTGCTGCCTCCTGCAGTGATGTTTGGAGATATGAAAATCAAATTAAGAACCACACATTGAGGGAGATTAGTACAGGTTCCAAAAATGAGAAAATGTCTAATATTTTTTCTAAAAACGACAAGTGTGCCATGGCGCTCGAGCGTCGCTTTGACTGTGCCAGAGATAAAGTCGTCAGTCAGTCAGAGTGCGAAGACAGGGGGTGCTGCTACGCCCCCCTGTCAGATTTAGCTGGACCACCATGGTGCTATTTTCCGCATTTGTATCCTGGCTACGTCATGGGTCCCCTCACTCCCAGTCAAAGAGGACGGGCAGCCACTTTGACCCTTGCCAAAGCGTCATACCTTCCCAAAGAGATACCCACTCTCAATATGGAGGTGATGGAAGAGACTGCAGAATGCTTACACCTCACTGTAAGTTGCTTTTCTATAGATTGAAGGATTTATAAAAAACACTCACTGCTGAAATGTATTTTTCCAAGCTAAAAGACCCTACATCTCCAAGGTATGAGGTTCATCTGCCAGGGCAGCAGTCTGCTCCTCAGAGGAAAGCAAGGCCACAGAATGCCCTATACTCCATTCTGTTTCAACATAACCCTTTTGGTTTTACGGTACTTCGTAATTCAAATAATAGAGTAATGTAAGTACTTTATCATCTTTTACCAAATTATATTATTCTCTTAAACCTTATAGCCATGTTGAATTTCCTGGAGTTTTATTTTGCTGTTTTTCTTGGTTCTGTTCAAGCATGAACACAACTGTGGCTCCTCTTTTATTCGCGGATCAGTACCTTCAGCTGTCAACAACACTGGCTTCCCCCTTTGTGTCTGGCCTTGGAGAACATTACACTTCCTTAAGTCTAGACCTGAACTGGACATCTGTAACACTGTGGAACCAAGACACTAAACCCCGTGTATGTAGGATACGTAATCTGACAAAAAAAAAAAAAGTCACCTTTCACCCATGTTGGTTCCAAATCATTTTATGTTTTCAGGTTGATGCAAACCTCTATGGTTCTCATCCCTTTTACATAGTCCAAGAAGAGGATGGGTTTGCACATGGAGTTTTCCTGCTAAACAGCAATGCAGTTGGTAAAAAGATTAAGCTTGATTTTAAGGTTAAGATGTATAAATATGGCATTCGCTTTATTACATTACTACATCATTCCTTTTAATGTTGTAGAGGTGGTACTGCAGCCCACCCCTGCTCTTACTTTGGTCGCTCTTGGTGGAATTCTGGACTTGTATGTTTTTTTGGGACCTGATCCAGAAAGTGTAATACGCCAGTATCTTCAAGTTATTGGTATGTTAAAACACACACCAATAACATTTTGTAATAATACCACTAAACTTATTTCTATTGATTTTGCAATGGTCAAGCTTTAGCAGATTGGTAAAATTATACATGTATTTTCATATGACATAAGGCATATGACGAATGGCTAGCACTCATGCCTCACAGCAAGAAGGTTATGGGTTCTATCCCCATACATTCAATCAATGAACCTGCCCAGGGACTACAGGTGGAAATTAGCACTGATGCTACAACCTGGTACAGTGCATCTCTCCTGTCAAGGTTAATGTAAAAATTGTGCGCTGCCCCTGTCTCAAATAAATAAATAGATAAATAAATAAATTACATTTTTATGTATTTATTTGTATTATTTTATTGTGTTTGTCATTGTTTAGACAATCTAACCCAAGTATATGGAAAATTAGATTAGATTTAGTTTTTCCCACAAATGTTTACATGTGTTACAAAATGTGGATTCATATTTTATGTCTTCTAAAAATCTGTCAATTTGTGTCTATGTAAATGATTCAAGGTTACCCAATGATGCCTCCTTACTGGGCTCTGGGCTTTCACCTTTGTCGCTGGGGATACACAACTAGTAATACAACCCGACAAGTGGCACAACACATGCATGATGCCAATTTTCCCATGGTAAATAAAGGACGCTATTTTGTTATTTTGTTTACACAATTCATAGATTTAAATGTGCTAGTATGTTCCACATAGATATCTTCAACCATTTTTAATGTTCTGGAGGTTTATTTTATTCTTGCAGGATGTGCAATGGAACGACCTAGACTATGCACATGATCGCAGGATCTTCACCTTTGACCCTTGGCGGTTTGGTGATCTTCCAGAGATGGTGCAGGATTTTCATGAACGAGGCTTAAAATATGTCCTCATTCTGGTAATCTGCATTCACTTGATACATTTACAACACTAGATGGCAGCATTGATTTCCATGTTTGTGATTTTTGGTATTGTGAATTTTGTTTTATGTATTTTAACAGGATCCAGGTATCAGTACCACTAGCCCTCCTGGATCATACCCTCCATTCGATGATGGCTTAAAAAGAGATGTGTTTATCAAAAATGCCACTGGAAATCTTCTCATTGGGAAGGTTAAACATTATACCTCATATACACTTTTACAGTTATGCGATATATAAATTGTCATTAATACTGGTTGTGTATATATATATATACACACATACATACATACATTCATGTGTGTGTGTGTGTGTGTGTATGTGTGTGTACACACACATATATAAAATGTATATGTATATGTAAAATCAGGTGTGGCCCGGACCGACTGCCTTTCCTGACTTCACTAGTCCAGAGACCAGACAATGGTGGGAGGACTGCATTAAAGAGTTTATTTCAAAGGTGCCTGTGGATGGCCTGTGGATTGTGAGTCATGCTGTTTGTTGTATCAGTGTTGATATTAATAACATTGATTTTTGCATGAATAATTTTCAAAGACTTTGTGAATACCTCTCTGCTCCACCCAGGACATGAATGAACCCTCCAGTTTTGTGCGTGGCTCAGTAGATGGCTGTCCTGACACTGATCTGGAGAGTCCACCCTACACTCCACGTGAATAGTTATTCATGCCACATTATATATTGTCATACAGTAACATTCACAATAACATGCTAACATTTCTGCACATACTATATTACTCATATTAATTTCACACCCTGCAGCGGTTGTTGGCGGCCAGTTAAATTCAAAAACACTTTGCATGTCGGCTCAACACCTCCTGTCTACTCACTACAACCTGCATAATATTTATGGGCTTACAGAAGCATTTGCCACTTACAAGTACGTGCACATGGTTACATATTTTTGTGTAACTGTATGATTACACATTTGGTCAATAACTTTAGTAATTTATATGTTTTGCACTTTAGGGCGCTCATAAATATTCAAAGAAAACGACCCTTTGTCTTGTCTCGCTCTTCCTACCCTGGGATTGGACGTTTTTCTGGAGTGTGGACTGGTGATGTCACAAGTAACTGGGATCAGCTTAGATATTCAATCCCTAGTGAGGAAATTTACGAAATATAGTCACATTTTAGGAATTAGAGTAAAAATATTTGATTTGTTCCCGTTTAGCTGTCCTGATGTTTGGTCTGTACGGGGTGCCACTTGTGGGAGCAGACGTGTGTGGGTTTGAAGGGAACACTACTGAAGAGTTATGTGTGCGGTGGATGCAGCTTGGAGCCTTTTATCCATTCATGAGGAACCACAATGATAGGCAAAATAGAGTATGTGTCATCCTGTTTTGAATTTCCTTTTGTAGAATCGCAAAATATTTGTAGGTTACCAAGTTGAACTGTACATTGTTTTGTAAGTCCATCACAATATTGCTACCATCAAACATAATACATTTATATATTTATTGCAACAAGAAGGTAAAAACAAAACAAACAAAAAAAAAACATCTGCATGAAACCCCCCCACCATAAAAGTTTCATAGTGCACATTTACCATGAGAATGTTTTATTGCATATAGCTATAGTGTGGATTCTAATTTGTTTTTCAGGTCTCTCTTGGTACATCATGCATATTTTCTTTGCCTAAAAACAGTTGGCCTTAAAAACCAGTCCATTCTTCCATGTTTTATGAATAGTGGTAACCGAAGACATTTGCTTTGTGTTTTTGCTTTTTGTATCTCTCTCTAGCCCCAGGAGCCTTATGTATTTGGAAAGAAATCCCAAGCAGCCATGCGCAGTGCTCTAAACCTGCGCTACTCTCTCCTTCCATTCCTTTACACACTGTTTCATCACGCACACACTTCTGCTGAGACTGTGGCCAGACCCCTTTTTGTTGAGTAGGTATCTATTGTATTGCAGTCAAATTGAAATTGTATTTTTTCTCACCAAGTTTCCCCTTCATTAAGATTTCCTCATGACCCTAATTGTCGGACCATTGACCGACAGTTCTTGTGGGGCAGTGCTCTTCTCATCAGCCCAGTCCTTGAACAAGGAGTGGTAGAGTTTTCAGCCTACTTCCCCTTTGGCACCTGGTACAGCCTCCTCGATGTAAGTTGACTTGTATACAATAGTATAGTGTCACTTCATATGATGCTGACTTTTAGCATAACAAAAGCGAATAAAAATAATACACATTTATTTTTAACATGTGTCTTTGAATGGATATTACTGTGCTACGCCGTAGGATCTCTCAGAACTAGCATTGTTGTTTCAAAGACCTGGAGAAGGCGCATGAGCTGTATTTTGAAATATTCTTTGTCTCTATTCCTCTCTGTGTTCCTTGAGGTCAAACTAGCATGTCTATAATGAAAAGAAAGTCTTTTATACACTTCCTACCAGTCATCGCATGATTTGCTAGATCCGTGATTCATTTCTTTGCTTCAGGGGCAACCTTTCTACAGCAAGGGGCAATATTTGCTCCTTTCAGCTCCATTGGACACCATCAATGTTCATGTCAGAGAGGGACACATAATACCTCAGCAGGTAGGAGAAAAATTAGATTGTATTTTCTGAAACTTAAAATTGCATGTATTAACTGTTTATTTTATTTGTACAAGGAAACTGCTTTGACAACCTTGGCATCCCGCACCAATCCTTTCTTTCTGACAGTTGCATTGTCAGCAGGAGGATGGGCATGGGGTGACCTGTTTTGGGATGATGGAGAAAGTCTTGACACATTTGAGAAAAGTAGTTATAGCTATGTCATCTTCATTGCGGGGCAGGTATGATCATTCAATATTGTATGAGTCAGTTATGAAAGGTTGGCTGTTAGTATTAATTACTGTATACCTGCATCGATAGGCACAGATTATAAGTGACCCCGTGAGACTAAACGGGGACCTAGATGGATTGGTGCTGGGAGGTGTCCGTGTTTTTGGTGTATCCTCCCCACCTCACTATGTTCTAGCCAATGGGGAGAAAGTCAGTGATTTTACCTACCACAGTGACACAAAAGTAAGATCTTTTTGTTACTTAAAATATATACATGAGAAGGGTGTTCATGCTAATGGCCCCTTAGTGTTTCTAAATATGACACAATCTGTATTCATAATGTCTGCTTTCCACAGGCTTTAATTGTGAACAAGTTGGCCTTGCCCATGTCAAAGGTTTTCACAGTTCAGTGGGCTCTTTGACACATACTAAAGATTTTTTTTAACCCAAAAGCTGAGTAAAACTCCATTTATAACGTTTATTTAAATATTGTTAAATAAAACATGCACACACACACACACCTCTCTTTTTAGTTTTTTTTTTTTTAGTTTTTATTTGTATACAGATAAAGTTTATTAGTTGGCTCTAGCCTACTGATAAACTCAATCCTTTATTTTTCTGTTCTCTGTCAATAAAAAGTAGAAAATTTAATTTAATAATCATTAGTATTGTTTATTAATTGCACAATTAAGCTTCAAAACAATTTTCCTGTAATAAAGATACCCCGTTTTTCAAAATAAAGGGTAGACTGTAGTTTGTGCGCTTCAGTCAAATTGAGGACATTTTACTTTGAAAATATTAGTCGGATGTGCTTTCATGGCTTGTAACAACAGCAGTCAAACATTTGCCATCACTGACGGAAAATACTGATCACAAACAAGACCCCCGTCTTCAAAAGCAACATAAAATCCGCCGAAAGCCGGTGATGGGCCCCAGGTACGCGGTGCTGGAGGGCGGCTGACCTGGATGTCCTGTGCGGGCTGTAGTGAGCTGCGGCCGGACTGAAGGTGAGAGCCCTGCCGCCTGGATACGGCCATCCATTCACACGCACGCTCTGTTTAGTCTATGTGCTGTTGGTTTATTTCTTCTGCTGGGGCAGGTGGAACGGTGATTTTAAAAGAGAAAATGCACTGATGTCGAGCATGGCTTTCGCTATAATTTCGCGTTACTCTTTCAGGGAAAACACATTTCAAAGTTAAGCATGGTCAACTAAACAGGACACAATGCTAAACTAACATTGTAATGTTAACAATAACATGCTTTTACGATCTCCTCCGGATGGAAATGAAGAGCAGATTGTTTTCTTGGAGAAATGAATGGAAACGTGGCGGGATTGTGAAAGTCGTCTTCCGTGCTCCTCTCTCCTCCTCCTCCTCCTCGTGTCAGGCGGATGCTCCGCTTAGATGATGGAGCTGATAGAGCCTAGACACCATGGCACTCCTCTGCTAGCATGTAATCTGCCACTGTCCTGAAATGTGTCCACGCCACCACATATCTCCCCTTATCATTTAAGCCTTTTGCTTTCATCTGAAGTGATTTGAAGGCCAGCCACTGGCTGTAGACTCTGATCATGACTCAAGTTCACTTTCCAAGTATGATGATGGAGCAAAGTAAAGGTAACATAGTTCAGTGATTTAGCCTATTCAGTGCTGTGGCCTGATAAATAGTCAGGAGTTTAATACCCAGTGGGCTATTATTTTTGTTTACTATTTTTAAGTAACCCACAACTATCATCAGGTATGTCTTGTTTTGAGTAGCGTGTAATTAGTCTTTTTGTCTAAGAATGTTACTGTTAAATGTCTGTGACAAAAGTTAATCAAATGTTTCCTATACTCTGTATACTACTGTCTCTGTATACTACTGTCTCAGACTCTTGTTTCTAAATAACCTTGTCATTCAGGCTTCTCTGTGGCAGTTGCGTCCACATGCTCGAGGCACTTCTGGGGCGCAAAACACTCTTTTCTTTCTGTAGCGCAGTGGTGTAGAGTAGACACAATTTATTTGTGAAGCATACTCTCCACAACACAGAGATTATTTTGAACTTGAGTTTGTAAATTAATTGAGAATGAGTAATTTGTTCTATCAAGTGTATTGTGTGTGAGCATTGACACAGTAGAATGTATTTTGGCACCTGGCATATCCAACTGAAGCCTCTGCAATCACACCAGACTAAAATATCCACCAATCCTTGGGCAGTAGGCACTACTGCAATGTTAGGCTGCGAGGAAAAAGCTGGTGTGTTCAGCTATAGTAGGCTACATACATAGTCTATACATAACAAAAGGTTAAATAGGCTAATGATTTGTCTGTAATCTTCAGCATAGGCCTATCTAAATAATGAAGGCCAAATGTTTTGCACATGTACAAGGTTTGTTCCTCAGTGCCAGCAGACTTCCTTTTTCAAATGTGGCATCAGGAAGTAGGGTGCTGGTTAATCAGGCTGAGGAAAACATGCCCTCTGAGGAAAGAGGAGGGAGCATTCTGTGGACTGAGTGGGTATGTGCCCAGCCAAAAAGACAACCAAACAAAACAAATGTGGGAAACATAATGTGTTATTCAATGAAGCTACAACCCATTACAATAATATGAGCTGCAGACCTTTGGGTCTTACTTCTCTGGGTTTTGTCACGGCCAAACTCTGAAGTTTGTATTATTTGTCCTGCACTACACTGATGCTGATGACATCTGGTGACTACTGATAACAGCCAGGCATTTCTCAGTCTTACTGTTTGTCTTGTGAGTGTACACAAGGTGTGACTTCTAAGTGAGCTGAACACATGTGAGGATAAGCAGGTGCATGCAGAGGCAGTGTGCAACTAGAAGTGCTGAACCAGGAGGGAGAGGGAGGAGACGCACAGGAGCAAAGCAGTAAGGACACTGCAGTGTACACATGCTATACTATGTTCAGTGGGGCTAGGTTCAGCTCAAGTCACTCTGCCTTGAAAATTATCATGTCCAGTCATTTGAAAATTACAACCCTCCTTAATTTACCTCATTGACATTTCCTCTTCTGATATCCAGCTGTTGTTTAGGATGGGCCCAGCCTGTCAGAGCCTGGGGAGATGTCTTTGGGTCGGCTCCTGCGGCGTGCCTCCTCCAAGGCCTCCGACCTCCTGACCTTTAACCCCAGTGCATGGGGTGTATCCTTACGCTCAGGTCTAGATGGGGAGATCATCTTCTCCAAAAATAATGTCTGTGTGCATCCAGCAGAACCACTGCCTGGCCTGGCAGACCATCACCCAGGTATGTATGTTTGCACACGATGGTAACCATTTAAAAAGTAAGATTTATTGCCTACTTGATTATGCAAAGATGGCAAAAGTCAATTATTTAAAATGCATTTTAAATCACATAAAATCTCTCTGCAGGTTATTTGTGTGTGCATGTGGAGAAGGATGAATGTCTGGGAACTACCCTGATTTTGACTTGGGTGCCCAATTCACGCATCCAGAGGCAGGACGAGGAAGCCATGCGTTACATCACTCCAGAGAGCTCTCCCGTGCGTCGCCACGCACGACGCAGAGGCCGCAGGTACCACGCACTGTTTGACCATACTCATTAATTTTATAAGCTGTAGTTAAATTATGAATACTAAGCCTACTAAGACATCATTAATTGCATGTCTTCTGGGTCAGATCAGTTCTATTGTACCAAACTGTGTCCCACAGGCACCACTGTCTGCCCCCTGCAGCTCCAGGGGAGGAGGAGGAGGAGAGGGTCTTGAGCAGCAGTACCTCAGCAGAGGGCAATGTGGTGGTGGAGACTACAGCAGAGCTGCCCTCTGCTGGTGAAGAGGGGGATGAGGGCTCCTGTGAGCTCTCAGATGAAGTGAGTCGGGACAGTACCATGGGCTCAGACTCGGACACCTTCTCCTCTCCGTTCTGTTTGTCCCCTGTCAGTGAGGCTCTCTGTGAGAGCAGCAACTCAGTCTTTTTGGACAGCGAGTGCAGGTCAGTGTAAAGGCTGCGGTGCAAACCTGTTTTAATTATCCCACCATTCCTTTGCATTTAGGCTTTTTATAAACCCACCCATATTCACATACTATTCTCATAATGCCTGGTATAAAAATAATAATAATGCATTAGTTGTGTATAGCACTTTTCCAGATGCTCAGTCACTTCACAGTTTTGTGACTTATTCACACCACACTCATAAGCTACAATAGCCTCTGCTGCCCTGGGGTATACTGATGTAAATACTAGGCAAGTCACACCTGCCCTACTACAGCACCTGGCAGCCCCCGCCGGCATTCCTGCTTATTTGAAAACTGGTATGGTCACCTTCTTAAAAATTAAGGGTTACTTTTATTTTTTCCACATAACCACATTATTAAAAGTTGATTTCTTTCATATTTTCTTTGCCTGTGACTCTGTGAGGGAAATTTGTATTGGGTATTCTGCAGACCAGTGTCTCAACTGGGTCACATTAAGTGTTTACGTATCTATAAGTCCTAGATGATTGGAAAAAGTGCACTTATGTTGCTTGCTTTATTAAAACGTTTTTTTTGTTTTTGTTTTGTTTTTTGTATACGTTTACGAAATTGCACAATTTAAAGAAAATTTCCCTTGCAATTAAATATTTTGCCACAAGGTGGAGCCACAAATAAGCAAATTATATGTCTGTCTTGCTGAGGAACCCCGTAGTGTTCTGGAGTGAGAGCAGGTAAATCGTTAAGAGGATGATCTCATGTTTAACAATTTAAGATGATTATTTACATAGATCCACTCTTATTTAAATGTTATATTTTGTCACAGATGGTGTAAAATAATTTTTAGAAATCCTACAAACCTCGCTGGCTCCAGATTGTCCCCTAATCAGAGGAGCCATCTGGACAGTGATTGTGGTGCAGTCGTTTGACTTTACGATTCCCCTCGCGGTTGCACAGTGATCCTGATCTGCTGCCCAGAATGTTGAGGCTGAGTCTGTGAGTGAGAGGCTAGTGCTGTAAGTACAGTCAGTATGGGACTTGGCAGCGCTCAGTGCTTCACAGCTTCTAACCTTTTCCTCTGTCCTCCTCTGGTGCTCTGATCCTCATTCACTTATGGCACTTCAGTCCTTTGGCACTCAGACACATCCTTTGTGTGGTCTCCTCACCATCATTTCCTTCCATTTCTTTCTGCCCGTCCTCCACCTTACTTTGCATCTCTTCCTCTTGATCACTCTTTTCTTTCAATATTGTTTCTTTTTGGTGTTGCCCACCCCTCAAATATCTGTCCCCCTTCCCTTCCTAAAGTCTGTGTGAAGCCCTTTGATTCCCAGTGCTCCCGGGGTTGTTGTGCTGGGCTGAATGTCAGCTCTCCGGATTAGGGCACTGAAGAGAGCGCCGCAGCAGCCAAACCCTGGAACCCACTCAATCTCTCTTTCTCTGTGCCTTGCTTTAATTGACACTGTTAAGGGGCCAGGAACTGGAAACATGTCACTTGGAATCATTCAGACAGAAAGAGCTGCGTTTGGGAGAGCAGCACAAGATGAAAGGGGGGCAGGAGAGTGAAGAGGGTGGTGGGAGAGAAATCTGC